CCTCTTCTAGATCCTGAAAGGTATAGATGATTAGTAGGGAAGCTGAACTACCTCACTGTTACCCATCCAGATATCTTATTCGCAGTGAGTATAGTAAGTCAATTCCTCAACTCTCCATGTAAGGAACATTGGGATGTGGTGACTCGCATTATTCGATACATCAAAAGAGCTCCAGGAAAGGGTCTTTTGTATGAAGACAAAGGACACACTCGAGTTGTGGGTATTCTGATGCAGATTGGGCATGATCTCCCTTAGATAGAAGGTTCACTTCTGGATTCTGTATATTTGTCGGAGATAACTTGTCTTTTGGAAAAGTAAGAAGAAGATGTTGTGGCCCGGTCCAGTGCGGAAGTGGAGTATCGAGCTATGGCTATATCGAGTCAGGAGTTTATATGGCTCAAACAATTGCTTCAAGAACTAAAGTTCGGAGAGGTCACACATATGTCACTTATTTGTGATAATCAAGCCGCTATGCATATTGCATCAAATCTAGTATTCCATGAGAGGACAAAGAACATTGAAATTGATTGTCATTTTGTCAGAGAGAAAGTCATTTCCGGAGAAATATCTACTAGTTTTGTCAATTCCCATGACCAACTAGTAGACATATTTCACTAAGGGGTCCTCGGATTAACTACATATGTAACAAGCTTGGTGCATATGACCTATATGCTCCAGCTTGAGGGGAGTGTTAGAATCTATTAAAATCTTGTAAATATAGTAACTGTATATTTTGTAATTATGTACTCTTTTCTATGAATTGGAATAACTCCGCTGTGCTCTAACACACACAGATTCAATATTTTTTCTCTCAACATAATGGTTGAATTTTCCTCTATAATGTTATATTTTATAAAATTTGTGAATATTTGTGAGAAGAGTTCAGCTATTTGCATGCAACAATAATTAATCTGTGATTAGTGGTCCATGTATGGGTTTTGACAAGTTTTGTGCTGGCTGCCAAAGACCTAATACAACCTTCCTCCTTTACTCAGGCTTGGGAATGACAAGTTCATCAATTTGCACATTGATTTAAAAAGATTATATTAATGTTGTCAAATGGCCGTTATGGCGGCGGTATGGCGTGGTGGAAATGACGGACGCCGTTACGAAGATGGCGTGGCGTGGCGGAATGACGTGGCGGCGCCATGGCGGCCGTTACGAGCATGGCGGTAACGGCCGGCCATGGCGGAAATTGTGATAAATGGCGTTTTTAAAAAAAAAAAATGGATTTTCTGCACTTTTGGGCTAGATCCGACCCGACCCGACCCGACCCAGCTCAGAATCCAACTGCCTAAATCCAGGTTTTTTCTCTCTCTTCTCCTTACGATCTCACTCTCCCTCTCTCTCTCTGCGACCACTTCTCTCTCTCTCTCTGCGACTGCTTTCTCTGAGATCTCGTTGCTGAGATCTCATTTTCTTGGGCTCTTTGTGTTTCTGTTTTGGTGCATTTCGGTCTGTATTTTCGGCGACTGCAGCTGCATCTTCGGCGACTGCAGCTGCATCTCCGGCGACTGCACCATCTCTGGTGACTCCAACCTCCATTTCCGGCGACTGCACTTCCATCTCCGGCGACTCCATTTTTCTGGTAGCTATTTTTTTTCATTTTTCCTCTCAGTTTTTTCTTTATTTCCCCCATTTAAATTTTACCCTTTCCATCTTTCAATTTTTACCTCTCCCACATTTTTATTTTTCTCAAAAAAAAATTCTATTTATTTCAGCTACTCTTAACATGGCTCAACATGAGTCTTCATCAAATTGTTCAAGAACTTCTAATCGTTCTGACCCGGGATGGAAATTTGCTCATTCGGTGAAAGATGGAGATACAAACAACATTGTATGTAATTTTTGTGGAAAAGTTATGAGTGCGGGAATCACTAGAGTGAAACAGCATTTAATTGGAAAGAAGGGTAACGTGAAAGCTTGTCCCAAGTGTCTGGAAGAAGTTAGAAAAGAGATTGAAACATATCAAAAGGAAAAAAAGAATCAAAATAATTTTGAGATGCCAAATGTGAGAAGCTTTGAAGGTATAAGCTATGATGTAAGTGAGGATGAAGAGGATACCCAAACCCGTAGCGTTGCCATTGGAAATCAGAAAGGGCCAATGGACTTGTTTTGTAGAAAGCCTGAAAGTGCAATTGAGAAAAGAAAAAAGGAAAAATTGAGACAAACAAATATAGGAGAACGATGTGACAAAGAAGCCAAGGCAAGGGTCCATCAATACATAGCTCGATTTTGGTTTTAAGCTGGCCTTTCCTTTAACCTCATTAAAATGAAGAGCTTTCAAGAAATGCTTACAGCTGTTGGTGCTTTCGGTCCAAATTTACCAGCTCCAAGTTATCATGATATTCGAGTTCCACTTCTAAAGAAAGAGTTAGAATATACCGATTCCCTCATGAAAGATCATAAAAAGCAATGGAGCAAACATGGCTGTTCCATAATGTCAGATGCATGGACCGATCGAAAGCAAAGATGCTTGATTAATTTTTTGGTCAACTCTCCTGCTGGTACTATGTTTGTGAGGTCTATTGATGGATCTAATTTTGTGAAGACCGGTAAAAAATTATTTGAGATGCTTGATGCTCTTGTGGAAGAGATTGGAGAAGATAAAGTTGTGCAAGTGATAACGGATAATGGAAGCAATTATGTCTTGGCTGGTAAGATGTTAGAAGCGAAAAGACCACATCTTTATTGGACTCCTTGTGCAGCTCATTGCATAGATCTTATGCTTGAAGATATTGGAAAGCTTCCTTTGATAAAGAAGACAATTCAAAGGGGAATATCGGTTGTTGGCTTTATCTACAGTCATTCAAGTACCTTGTGTTTGTTGAGAAATTTTACAAACAAGAGGGAATTGGTAAGACATGCAGTTACTCGATTTGCAACTTCTTTTCTATCATTAGAAAGACTTCACCAAGAAAAAGCAAATCTTAGAAAGATGTTTACTTCTGAGGAATGGTGTAAAAACAAGTTATCAAAGGAAGTTAAAGGGAAGCAAGCAACAAAAATTCTATTAAATCCTGTATTTTGGAATAATGTGGTGTATACTTTGAAAATTATGGCTCCTCTTATCCGGGTGTTAGGTTTGGTTGATGGAGAAAGAAGACCAGCTATGGGGTATATTTATGAAGCAATGGAGAAAAATAAAGAAGCTATCATGAAGTAATTCAAAAATAATGAAAGTAATTACAAAGATGTGTTTGCAATCATTGATAACAGATGGACTTGTCAGCTTCACCGTCCATTACATGCAGCTGGTCACATTTTAAACCCGGAATTTTACTATGACAACTCTCAAATTGAATTTGATTTGGAAGTTACAAATGGGTTGTATGATTGTATCAAGAGGTTGGTGCCAAGTCAGGATGTGCAACAAAGTATACTACTTGAATTACCAATTTACAAGAGCGGTGGTGGTCTCTTTGGGTCCGACTTTGCAAAATCACAAAGAAAAAGCATTGCTCCCGGTAATTCATCAAATTCTTCAATATTTTAATTTTAAGGTCATACTTCATCTTTAGAGTTATAATTTGTCTTTCATTTTATAGCTCAATGGTGGAGAATGTATGGACATTCAGCTCCACATTTGCAGCAACTAGCTATCAAAATTTTGAGCTTGACATGTAGTGCATCCGGATGTGAACGCAACTGGAGTGTTTTTGAGCAAGTAATTTTTTATCTCTCGAGCCTACTATTTTCTTTTATAAATTAGAGAGAAACTGATTAATATTCTTATAATTAAACTCACGTTGCAGATTCATTCAAAGAAGAGAAATAGGCTTGATCACAAAAAATTACATGACTTGGTTTATGTGAAATACAACCAACAACTCAAAGAACGTTACAATCTTAAAGATGTAATTGATCTAATTACACTCAATGATATTGATGAGTGTAATGAGTGGTTGGTTGGAGAAATGAATGATGATGCTCTAGATGAGGATGCTGGAAATGACTTAGTTTTTTATGGTGATAACACTTTAAATTGGGCAACTGTTTATGAAGCTTCTGGAATTGGAGAGCCTAAAACATATACTAGGCGTCATTCTAAGAAAAGAAAGAATCCATCAAGTGGTATCACTATCAAAGCTGCAAAAGTTTCCAAGATTAAGGCATGTTCAACAACAAAAGGAAAAGAGAAAATGGTTCTTGAAGATGATGATGAAGAATTAGAAGATGAAGAAATGTCGGAAGAAACAGAAGATGAATTAGAATTTAATCTTCCACAATCTGAAGGAGAAGAAGAGGAGGGATATGCCTTGGTGGATGAGAAAGAGGATGATTATGTTGGAGTTGAAGAAGAAGACTAAATTGATAATCTTTATTTTTATTGTTAACTTGACATTTGATAATTACATATTTTGTATTTAATTATACTTTAGATTGAAGGTTATGTTACATATATTTTTAGTTAATTATTTTCTATTATTTTCTGTGACCTATAGTATTTTTTTATATATTTTATTACATCCGCCATAAATCTGCCATAACCTGCCACGGCGGCCGCCATAACTTTATGGCAGTTTTTTGAGTTTCCGCCATGAACCGCCATCCGCCATTAATAACATTGGATTATATAAAAAAAAAGTTATGTGAAACTATTATCCTCCCAAATATATTAGATAGAAAATTAATCTTAGAACTAGAGGGATTTTCTGAACTGATGGCAGCATTTTCTTTTGTTTCTTTCCTCATTCCTGGACTGGTTGTTCAATGTTAGCGAAAATATCTCAATAACAGAAAGGCTGTAGTGGTAGATTTGAAATTTAGAGAGATCGGTTGCAGCCAATGATTTATTTATGTTATTTTAGGCATCTGGAAGAGACATTTGTGGTAATTAAGGGATTCTCACATTTGTTGTAGCTCTAACCTTGTCTGTTTAAAATGGTTAGAAAAATTCTTATATGATGAAAATTTGTGGGTTTGCAAATTAACTTCTTATTTCTCATATTATACTTTGATGTAGTGTTGGCTTAACTAAGGAATCTGTAATTTTGCAGGCTGTGAAGAAGGGTGATACTATTTTTATCGGTCAATATCTGTTTACAGGAAGTGAAACAACTTCAGTGTGGCTAGAGGTAATGCAATCTTAGATGTACTCATTCTATATTCAACACTTGTGCGAATAATTTACGATTATTATTTTAATAATTATGAAATCATAGGGTTTAGAGAGGGAAAGTTGAACAGAGATGAAAAATTCAAAATAATATGGCAGATTGATATGATGTTACTATAATACAATATTAGATTGATAGGACTCGTTTCTATATTTGATGTAATACTATACACTAAGGGCACTTTTGGCAATCAAGATAGGATAAAGGTGGATAGGATAAGAAGAAAAAATAAAAGTAGGAAAGGATATGAGCACAATAAGCTATTATCCTGTTTTGAGTTTGGTGCACACAAGATATTGTAATGAATAGTAACGTAAACTGTGTACAAATGACAAAATTACACTTATAGAAAGTTATTGTAGCAATGATGTTAGAGGTGATAGTGAAAATGACAATGGTAATAGTGACAACAATGGCGGTGGTTAGGAGTGGTAAAGCGAGCTAGCCAGCCTTGGCATGCCTCGCAAAAAAGCCCGCCACAAAATGGGTCAGCCTGCCCTGTCTTTTGAGGTGGGCTAGAAATCTAGCCCTATTAGTTTAAGGGTGGGGCAGTGGGCTCAGCCCACCATAGTAATAAAGAATTAAAAAATAAAAATCTGACTAAAATTAACATAAAAAATAGAAAAAATTACAAAAATGAATAAAAACATTTAAAAAACATTAAAATATATTTTAATAATATTTTTATATTAATAAAAATTAATATTTAACTAGTAAATAATTATATTACTTTTTTAACATTTTAAATGGGCCTGACAAACTGACTTGCCATTGGCCTACATTTTGGCGAGCAGCAGGTGTAGAACCTTCAGCTTGATCCACTGTCTTGAGTGGGTTATGCAGGCTGGCCGTTGGGCTCAGCTCACTTTGCCACTGCTAGTGGTGGTAACAGTATGAATTGTGGTGATGTGAGAATGGTGGTAATTATGGTTGTTGGACGGCGGTGATCATAGTTGTGATATTTTATTGACAATGAGTGTGATGCTTATGGTAGTGATGTTTGTGGTAATAATAACGACTATGGTGGCAATAATAGTGACAATGACCATGGTGGCGGTGGTAATGTCATGTGGTAATGATGGGGTGATGATGGCAGCTATGGTAGTGGTATTGGTGGCAATGGTGGTAATTGTAGCTCAAGTGTAGAGAAGGTATAGATGACAGTAGTAGTGGTGATCATTATTGTGGTAGTGGTGGTGGTGGTGGTGGTGACAATTATGATAGTGGCAAAAGAGATAATGACAATTGTGGCAATATTAACAGTGGCAACAAACGATGTTGATGATAATGTCAAGTGTAGTGATGGTGGGGTAGTAGTAGCAGTGGTGGTGATTGCATTTGCGGTAGTAGCAACAGTGATATTGGTTGTGATGATGATAGTAGTGGTGGTTGTAGCAGTTCAGGGTAGTGTTTGCAGCAGTTTAGGGTAGTCGCTGACTGTGGCGGCAGTGATGATGACAATAATGATAGTAATGCATATAGACATTGCTAGAAGCTGTGGTGGTGATGGTGGTAGTAATAGTGATGGCGGCAACAACTATGTTATTGATAGTAGTAGTGAAAAAAATGTTTCATAATGTGAAATGATAAAGGAAAATTTTCCCTATCCTATCCTATCCTATCCTAGCTCACCCCCCTTAGGATAACTTTTGAAGTAAAGGATAGGATAGGATAACTGGATAAGTAAACAAGATAAGCTCATCCTATCCCATTGGCTCACTAAATAATAGATTAAAATTAGATATAATAACTTATTCCATCCCATCATCCTTATCCTGATCATCAAATGAGTCCCAATACTCCTATCTATACAATAATTAGGTCATGTAGTAGTGCCACTATTGCAAGCCCAAACCCTCTAATATTATGATAAGGGTCCACTCTCCAGTTAGGTTAAGTAGTAGAAGGGCTTTGATTGGTTTTGACTCAAACAAATATCAATGTGAAGTTTCTAATTGTTATAAAGGGTGATGAGTCACTGATGACTGAGGACTACTGGGTAAATATTATCACGGTTTCTCATTCTTATTAGATTTAGATATAGCTTTTTCCATTCGGATTCTAGTAGGTGATACCTTATCTTTGTTTCCAATTCCTCCTCTTTTCCCTCTTAATCTCTGTTGTCATTTTTTTTCTTGATCTCTTGATCCATATAAATGCTGTAGGAAAGGTATGTTCTGCACCAGATAAGAGTAGCCCCATGCTTGCTGCCTATTTTCTGTTTTAGCTTTTTTAAGGAAGCATTGGAGGATAGAGAATGGAAAAGTAGAATACTGCTTATACTTGGTCATTACTGTCACTCAAGTAGTTTTGATTTTTATAATGCAGGTCAGCGAAGTGAATGGTGATGATGTTACTTGTGTCATTAAAAATTCTGCTACTCTTGCTGGGTCACTGTATACTTTACATGTCTCTCAAATTCGTATCGATCTTCCCACTCTTGCTGCTAAGGATAAGGAGGTAACTATAAGAAATTTGTGTGCATAAAGTAATGAGATGTACATAATATGATCAAATTTCTATTCTACCTTTGTGCTTGAGAATGAACATTTCAATTTTTTTTATCTATGTTCATGGGGAGATTTTAGGTGTGGAATTGAAAGTTAAATTAGTCTTCACCTTGAAGTTTTTTTTCACTTTTTTTTTTTTTAAATCAATAATACATTCTGCATAATTGATTTTCACCTCCCAAATTAACAAACACAGTTTGATTTACTGTTGAAATCAATTTTATCTTGGTAAAACATACTGGCTGTTTATGTTTGTACAACATATGTGATAAATTATTTTATCTGCACCAACCACGAGTCTATCCTGGTTTAAGTTATGCCTTTTAGATTGATGAATGTAGAAATATCTTATTATTAGTTTCTTATAGTTGTGTTAATCTTTTGTCATTTCACTCACTTACTCAGGTAATAAGCACTTGGGGTGTTCAAAATAATATAGACTTCCTTTCATTATCATACACCAGACATGCTGAAGATGTTCGCCATGTAAGGGATATTGTTTACAGGTTTTGTCGTACTGCTTCTGTATTGAGTTTTGACACTTTTATATTGTACGTTTACTATGGAGACTTTCCCTCTAGTATGAAAATATATAATATACACAAAATATTTATGCAAATTGTTGCAACTAACTCCAAAACAATATTTGGTGGCACCCTACAAATTGCTTAGTTGCTTATGATGTTTTATTATCAACATCCATTCCTATCCTTGTCTAAACCTAGAAAGCTGAATGGAAGGTTCATTTTAATTCCCAAGCATTTGAATTAAAGATTCAGCTAGACAAAATGAATTTACTCTTCTCCTTTCTCACCCTATAAGGCTAAAGTAATGGTTGGAATGAAATTTGGCAGAAGAATATGAATTATTGATAACCATTTTTTATCACATTTGTAGGCATAAAAACATTTTAGGTTTAGTTATGGTGTTTTTACATAAATACAAGGATATTTTGGGTGTGCAAAATACAGAGAAAGGGAGATTATTTTACTTTTTTGTTTATTCAAGTAATTTAGTTCTTTTAACTTTCAAGTTTGTTTAGTTCTACGGTATTGTTGATTAAGTAAATCATTTTCTTTATTTTACTTTTCCTCATAGCATTGAAAAAAATGTCGGCATATGTATTTTGCAGGCCCGTGAATTTCTCTCTAAATTAGGTGACCTCAAACAGACCCAGATCTTTGCAAAGATTGAAAATATAGAGGTCAGAAGCTTCAAAATCTTTTGAACAGAATTTCTGAAAAAAACAGTAGTTCAAGATCCTCTGGTGTGTGTGTTTAATAATGATTTTGAAATGCATCTTTTGTCTGTAAATTTTCGTAGGGACTGACACATTTTGATGAGATATTGCAAGAAGCCGATGGTATCATCCTTTCACGTGGAAATTTGGGGATAGATCTTCCACCAGAGAAGGTTAGCTTTTAATCTGGACAGAAGAATTCAATGTTATATATGATACAATTACAAAGGAATAATTGTGATATTTTTCCATTTGTTTAGTTCTTTTCAGCATCATGGCATTTGTGTCTATAGATTACTTATATAGCAGTAGCAGTCTTTATATGCTGCCTAATATCAAAGTTGTGGACAACTCCCAGACAAATCTCACATTGTAATTTATACTTACGGCTTGTTTAGAAGAGTTTGTAGACAATTTATGGAAACAGCTTATGACTCGCATAAACTCTTTCCAACTTATCTCAACAAGTTTTCTTGTTAAATTTATGGCACAAGTAATCATCTAAAAGGGGCATAAGAATAAAATTTAAATTTAAGCTGTGTATTCATCTGCACCTTTAAACTTTGTTGAATCTTTATGACATGGGTGTGGAGAGAGGGAAGTTGGTTATAGGTGAGAGAATGAAGCATGAGAGGGGGCATGAAGAATTGTAGTGAGAATTTGGCCTGAGGCTTGGGCAAGAGAGTGGGATACTCTCTCTCTCTCTCTTTTCTGTTTTACCACCATTATTTGCTACTGCATTCACACCATACTAGACATTTTCATTCAGTGAGATTTATACATTACAGATATTACATAGTATTTGTTCTTTTTGGGTCTTCAACTCTCAGTAATTAATAGAACAAAATGACTTTGTTTGATCTCACTTTGTAGGAAAAGGGCTTTGATCATTGTATTGTATCAAGCTTTGATAACATTTCACAGATCAGCTCGACTCAAAGGTTAAGTTAAAATCCAAAAATGTTAGCTGAAGTATAATAAATAGATTTCAGTTGTCCCACATCGGCTAGGTCGGCTAGGAACATGGCTAGAATACTCCTTATAAGACTTAGGCAGTCCTATGTGCTAGCTTTTGGGAGTGAATTAGATCAATTTTTCTAATATGGTTTTACAGCATATTTAGTTTGAATGTTGGGCCACTCACTTATGTTCATTCTAGCAAACTTCACATACTAAATACCAAATTTTAGTCGTGAAGGGGGGTGGGGTGGGTGAGGGGGACACGTATTAAAATGTCCCACATCAACTAGGAATATGACTACAGTTACTCGTTACAAGACTTAGGCGGTTCTCCTTCTATAAGCTAGCTTTTAGAAGTGAGTTAAGCCTAGTTTTCTAATAAATAATTTTATTTCTTATAGTATATACCCTCTTCAATACACAACTTTCACTCAAATTTGGCAGGTGTTTTTATTCCAAAAAGCTGCTATTTACAAATGTAACATGGCTGGAAAACCCGCTGTTGTCACACGAGTGGTAGACACTATGACTGATAACCTTAGACCTACTCGTGCTGAAGCAACAGATGTTGCCAATGCAGTGCTCGATGGTATGTTTTATTTTGCTGATTTATAATCCTTTTTTTTTTGGTTATATTTGGTGAGTCTTGTTTGTTTTGTTTTGATTCTGACAGATGCATTATCTAGACACTAGAATTGGATGGACGTACATGTTTCTATTTAGTTATTAATACTCCTTCAATGTTATTGTGTTTATCCATGCTTGTTTCCTCTCTAAATACGTGGTTTGCATTTTGTTGATTTAGGTAGCGATGCAATTGTTCTTGGGGCAGAGACTTTGCGGGGATTATACCCTGTAGAGACTATTTCCATTGTTGGAAAAATTTGTGCTGAGGTAGGTTTGTCCTTCAGTAATAAATTGCATTCCTATTGCATTTTTCACTAAAAGAAAAAGCCCATCTGGTATTTAGTTCATTGAGTGATCTTCTCTTTTGTTAGGTAGTCATTTAAAATGTTCATTTGTGGTATTATAGAAGCTGTCGTATTGTTGACCCATTTCTCCTTTGTTGTTTCATATTTGGCATCTTGTTTTTATTAAAGTTTCCTGTACATATTTGATAATAATAATCTATGGCTGCATGCTAAAGGCATTTAACAAAATTCCAATATGCTGTTCAAGTGGTTTTCATAAAAAATACATTAAGAGGGGCTGAAAGAAATTCTCAGGCAATTCTAAATAGTCAGAGTTGGTATCTCAAGCCTTGTTGTCATGAATCATTCTGACCTCCACTCTGAACACATCAGGCATACTCCCCCCATAAACAACTCTGGCGATGTCTCTAGTCACTAAATTCAAGTGACAAGTCAACATAGAAAGGCCAACCAAACAATTCGTATAAGACTTTCCTTAAACTGCCACTGGGTGTGCTGCCACAGCAGACAGTACTTGAATTGTGTAGCCCTTGTACCACCCTAAGTGGGTTTTTTCAGGTTTTTTTTTCTTCCTGCTGTTTGGTCAGTCTTCTCTGCTGTCTTTTAAGGCCATTGTACTGCCTGCAAAGCCATTCTTATAGAACCTCAGAGTTAGATCTCACCTTTTTTCAAGTTTTGCTCATGGTTGTGGACTTTCTCCTTTTGTCACTGGCCTTTCCAAAATTGGTCCAGTTGCCTTACTAAATGGAAATAATTAGGAATGAGTGTCTAAATATCTTCTACAATGAGGGTCTACATATAGACCAACAAAGCCTAATGTTGAAGATCAGGGCAATATCATGCACATATCAATCAATATCAACCGATTCTGGTTTGTATAATCTTTTAGGATCTACTGTAAATAGAATCAATTTATTTCCTGTCTTTTCCTTATTTAGGTACAGTATTTGTAGGGAGAATTATTTTCTTGATTTTCAAGGCTAGATTAGCGGTCAGGCCTATTCCTCTTGTACCCTATTTATACCACTCTTGTTTTCTTGTTTCTATGAGAGAAATAACACAATATATTTCCGCATGGTATCAAAGCTCGATCTGAACCATCCATAACCTAGCGCTGCAACCATGGGAGAGAACAAGGCAGAAGATTCGACCACCACCTTGGTCGAAGTACCTGCTCTTGCGATTACTGGTCACAAATTGAATGGCCAAAACTACATCCAGTGGGTATGGGCAGTCAAGATCTTCCTTCAAGGAAAAAGGAGAAAGATTACATCACAAGAGACTCCAAAAGTCCTGTAAAGGGGGGACCCCAACTACAACAAATGGCAATTGGAAAGCACTCTAGTCATGTCATGGCTACTCAGCACCATGACTAATGAAATTGGAGAAAATTTCATGTACTATGATACTACCAAGGAGATATGGGATGTGGTAGAGGAAACCTACTCCAATGTAGACAATACGTCTGCAGTGTTTGAGATCAAAAGCATACTCCATGACATGTGACAAGGTGAATTCTTAGTCATTGAGTATTTTAATACACTTGGTTGAAATTGGCAGCAACTAAACGTATATGAAGAAGTTAAATGCAAGTGTACTGAAGATAAGAAGTACAGATAATTGGTAGAAAAGGATAGGATCTATAAGTTCCTATCAGGGCTGAACACACAACTTGATGAAGTTTGGGGGTGAATCCTAGATACAAACCCCTTCCTAAAATCTGGGAAGTAAGAAGGGAGGAGAGTAGGAGGAAAGTGATGCTTGGGAAAATCATCTCGACCCCATCCATTGAAGGATCAGCAATGGCAGCAAAGGGGAACATTGCAGCCCCATCCATTGAAGGATCATCAATGGTAGCAAAAGGGAACCAGCCACGTTTTTTTCAAAAGAAAAATCGGCCCTGGTGCAATCACTACAAGAAAACAGGTCACACTAAGGACACATGCTGGCACATTCATGGTAGACCTTCTGAGCCAAAACAAACCAGAAATCGAGACAGCATAGGCAATACAACTGAGGTAAATACTGACTCATCTCCCTTCAGCAAGGAGCAAATGGAAGTTCTACAGAAAATTCTTCCGTAAACAATTGGTACAGCCACAGTAGCACAAAAAAGTAGCTTCTTGCATGCCCTAAATACTAGCAAGGGAAAACCAAAGACATGGATCATTGACTCGAGCTTCAAATCACATGACTAGAGATTCAACTATGTTTAATAACTATTCTCACGTCATGGGTAAAGGATCAATTACTATCTCACAAAATATTACACTAAATTCAGTCCTTTATGTACCTAAACTTGACTGTAACTTACTGTCCATTGGCAAACTGACAAGAGATTTAAAATGTGTCACTAAATTCTTCCCTGACCTATGTGAATTTCAGATTTTGGAGTCGGGGAATACGATTGGCAATGCTAAGGAGTATGCTGGGTTATACTTCCTCCAAGTTGAAGAGTTAGAAATGGAACCCAAGGCCAATTCTTGTGCCGCTATTCTTTCAAGTAGTGAAGACTCTAATGTTATGGCAATATAGGCTGGGTCACCCAAATTTTATGTACTTACAAAAAATGTTTCCCACATTATTCATAGAAACCAGAAGTTATTTCAATGTGAGATTTGTCAATTATCCAAACATACAGGGGACCATCATGAGTCAACAATATCACTAGGTCGAGATGGTTCATTACCTTCATTGACGATCACAACAGGTCACCTGGGTTTTCCTCATGAAGGAGAAATCAAAAGTTGGAAGGATATTTGAACTATTTCATACAATGGCAAACACAATTTCAAAGTAGAATTAAGGTGCTCAGAAGTGACAATGGCTGCAAGTACTATCACTGTGCCCTAAATTCCTACCTTGACAAACATGGAATCATACACCAGAGTTCATGTGTAGATACCCCTCAGCAGAATGGGGTTGCCAAGAGAAAGGATAGACATCTCCTAGAAGTGACTAGTTCTTTCATACTTGCCACAAACATACCCAACCAATTTTGAGGAGAAGCTGTCCTCTCTGGACCTACCTCATCGACAAAATGCCCTCCTAGATCCTCAACTTCAACACCCCCCATTCCACTCTCCAAACCTTATACCCAACCAGTTGTATCCTTACGTCCATTCCTTTGAAAATATTTGGATGTTCAGTCTTTGTCCACAACCTAAACTCTCATTGCAGCAAACTTGACCCCAAATCCATAAAGTGTATCTTTGTTGGTTATTCTCCTCACCAAAGGGGGCACAAATGCTATTCTTCCCACACCAGAAAATTTTACCACACCATGGATGTGACCTTTTTTTGAAAATCAGCCTTACTATCCCGAAGTTGGAATTCAGGGGGAGCAAACTTATCCAACTAAGGTGGTAGAATCCCAACTTTTGGAATTAGAGCTAACCCAATCTGGCCCAAATACAGAGCCCAGCTGAGGCTGCAGCAGAAACTGAACGAGAAAGCCCAAATACAGAGCCAACAACAGAAACTGTAGAACCATCAGAAAATGCTGAAAAAACTGAACAAGAAAATGCAACAGAACCTGCACAGGAAAACAATTGGACAACATACTTCAGGAAGAGAGTAGAGTCAAGCACAAGTCCAAGGCAAAGCCATGAACCCACCCAAGCTCCAGAAAATGAGATTTACCCAGGTAATATTGTTCCTATCCCTAAACCTGTTGATGGCATTGACATTCCCATTGCCTTAAGGAAAGGGGTGAGATCTTGAACTCAGCACCCCTTGAGAAGTATATGTCCTATGCAAATTATCACAGGAGTACAGGACTTTTGTGGCAACTCTTGACAACACACATATCCCAAGGAATATTCAATAGGCACTTCAACAACCTGAATGGGCAGCAGTTGTAACAGAAGAAGTTCAAGCCTTGGTTAAAAATGGCACGTGGGAGATCACTACTCTACCAGGAGGGAAGAAACTGGTTGGATGCAAGTGGATATTCTCCATTAAACACAATGCCTATGATAGTATGAACAGGTATAAAGCCCAGCTGGTGGCAAAGGGGTTTACCCAATCATATGCAGTGGACTACGAAGAAACCTTTCCACCAGTGGCCAAACTCAACTCAGTCTTAGTCATTCTCTCTTTAGCTGCAAACTTAGATTGGCCACTCCATCAACTAGACATCAAGAATGTCTTCCTAAACGTTGAGCTAGGAGAAGTCTATCTGCAAATTCTCCCAGGACTTGAATCATCCAGCACATCAAACATGATGTGTAGGCTTCATAAATCTTTGTATGGCCTTAAGCTATCATTGAGAGCGTGATTTGATAGAATCACTTGAGTTGTCAAGGAAGATGGGTTTAATCAATGTTAATCAGATCACACTATGTTTGTCAAACATTCCATGGATGGGAAGGTAGCCCTATTCATTGTTTATGTTATCACAGGAAATGATTATGATCAAATCAAACATTTGAAGGGACTCTTGGCCAACGAATTTGAAGTCAAAGACTTAGGTCAGCTTACATATTTTCTAGGGATGGAAGTTGCTTGAGCGAAAAATGATATTTGTGTCACAAAGGAAATACACACTGGACTTGCTTCAAGAAACCGGTATGCTTGGATGCAAGACAGCCAATACTCCCATAGAACCAGTAAAAAGAAGCGAAGAGGAAAGTCCACCAGCTGATAAAGATTGATATCCAAGCCTAGTTGGGTAATCTACCTCACACTAGGCCCCGACATTGGGTTTGTTGTGAGCTTGGCTAGTTGCTATATGTCTGATCCAACCGAGACCCACATGAAAACTATGAACAGAATCCTCCAATACCTCAAAGGTACACCAGGCTGAGGGCTCTACTTCAAGAAGGACTCAAACAAAAGCATTAAAGTCTATACAGACTCGGATTGGGCAGGATGCCCCTCTGAATGAAAATCAACTACAAGTTATTGCTCCTTTGTATGGGGAAACATGGTGATTTGGAGAAGCAAAAAAAGTCATTGATAGCGAGTAGTGCAAAAGCTGAATTCAGAACTATGGGTCAAGGTATTTCTGAAGGAATTTGACTTAAGCAGATGTTGAATGAAATCAGGATTCCTATCAACTACACTATGAGAATATTATGTGACAACAAGGCTACTATAAGCATTGCAAAGAACCCAGTCCAACATGACAGGACAAAACATGTGGAGATTGACTGACACTTTATTAAAGAGAAGATTGACCATAATATTATAAGTGTTGAATATGTTCCATCATGCAGGCAGACAACAGACATATTAACAAAGGCTCTTCCAAGGAACATGTATGAAAACATAATCCAATCTAGGTATGATAGACATCTACCACCCAGTTTTCTAATTGGAAAAATGGGAACCTGAGGAACTTGAGAGATTTAAGAACCTGTAGAAACAACTGGAGGCAACAAGGGAGGATAAAACAAAGAGAGAGGCAACATGGGAGGCTTAAAACTGCTTAGATAAGGTGTCATTTCTCATTGAAAATAAGGCTAATATTCATACCATTAAGGCACTCATGTAATTATCTGTGTGATCCATAATTGTGGAAAATAGGAAGACCCTAGAGTTCCAACTACAACTGTTTAAAGAAGTGTATAGGATGAAAGTCTGAACAATTGTTTAAGTATCCACTTGACTCTAATTGTGGAAAAAAGGAAAAGGCCCAAGAGCTCCAACATACAACTGTAATACACATCAGTAAGTTATAATTGTCATTACTTAAAGCAAGATCAAATCCAATATTGGCATATGAATCATGAATATGCACATCAAAGGCTTAACAAAATTTAATATTCAAAAGTAAAACAACAATGTGTGAGATTCACACTGATGGGGAGGGAAATCAAGGAAAATCTCATATGAGATATCACCAATTGGTTTATTAATCTATCCCTCCCAATCTTGTGTCCTGTTGAACATCCTTAGAAATCTCATCCAACTTATTATCCATATATTCTGTATCATGTTGATTATCCTTTGGAGATAATAAATCGTTAATACTCTCTTCAGATTCCTTGTTATATTGATTGTCTGTCCCTTTCTGCCAATAAATTTTTAGGAAGCTTGGCAAGTGCAATGTCAAGTATAGAAGTAGAGTATAATGGTATGGCTCTTGCATCTTGTTAAATTATAGGGTTAGAGCAATTACTTCAAAAGTTGAGGTTTTGCATAACAAGTCCTTTTATTTGTGATAACGAAGTTGCATTGCAAATTACCTCTAATCAAGTCATTCATGAGCAAGTCAAGCAGCACATAAAGGTTGATTGACATATTTTACTGGAACAGATTCTTTCTGGGTGAATCACTGTCATATGTGAAATCCAATGACCAACTGCCAGATGTTTGTCTCTTTGAGAACCAAGGATAACTAATATATGTAACAAACATGATGTATATGAATAGGTCCACATGCTTTAGGGGGAGTGTTAGTCATTGTAGATTTACGAGTTATCTTTTATTTGGGATTTGAATTGCTTTACTTTAGTATAGATTAACAGGGGATGACGGAAATTTTCTTTGGCAATTCCAATATACTAGAGAGCTCAAGTGTTTATAATTAATAGTCCTGAAATGCATTGAGTATGAATGCTTTTCTAAGGTGCAATGCGGACATTTGCTTAACAAGCTGCTCTTTGCAGGCAGAGAAAGTTTATAATCAAGATTTATATTTCAAGAAGGCTGTCAGATATGTGGGAGAGCCAATGACTCATTTGGAGTCAATAGCTTCCTCTGCGGTACTTTTGTCTTTTGCACTAAGTATTAATTGGGGTTGTTTTAATTTTTGCCCAATTACATATTTGGGAATAATTTCCTTGTTTCAATGTGCAGGTTCGTGCTGCCATCAAGGTTAAGGCTTCTGTTATTATTTGCTTTACTTCATCCGGAAGGGCTGCAAGGTTTCATTCCTCTTTTCAATCAATCCCCTTTTATTATTTTAAGAATTATATAATATTTTGGTCATTGATGCAAATGTTTATGCATTTATTGTTTATTAATGATTAATATTAAATTATTATGTTGATATTTTCTTAGTTCATGTTGGGTTGACAGTTGGTTGTTATTTTGTTGCACTTTTGATGTCTTGCTAGCAAATCATGGATTGTCTATTGTCTAAATTTGTAGGTTGATTGCCAAGTACCGACCAACCATGCCTGTGATATCTGTTGTCATTCCTCAACTGAAGACAAATCAACTTCGATGGACTTTTACTGGAGCTTTTGAGGTATTTAATTGATAGCTTGGCATGAATTGGTTGTGGAATATTCATATAGATGTTAGAATGATGTGAGTGAATTGAAGAAAACAACAAACATCAATCAATTCTTATTCCACTAGGTGAAGTCGACTATATGGATCACGACACCATTGAGTACGGTTAAAAATTAAATTCTTTAGAAATATTATTATTAATAGATATCTTTTAATAACTTTTCCTAAGGGTCTTATTGGTTTCCCTTGGCTCCTTTCTACGGGACTAAAAGTCATGTTATCCATTCTCTTCACTAGTGTTTCTAAAAGTTTTCTTTAATTTGCATGTGATCCAACTACCTTAGAACCATTTTTAATCTTTTTTTTTTTTTCATTATAGGTGCTATTCTAAAATTTTCACGTATACTATCAATTTTTATTCTGTCCTTTTTTGCATGATCACTCATCAACTTTAGTATTCTTATTTCTACTGTTACCACTTTTTTCTTGTGCTATTCCATTAAGGCATTGGTAATATAGGATATTTGGTTGTATTACAGTATGATAAAACTTTTCTTTTAATTTGATAAATATGTTATAGTCACAAATAACTCTCGATATCTTTCTTCACTTTAACCATGTAGTTTGTATCTTGAGTAACATCTTCATTAATTTTTTCATCGTTTTGTAGAATCAATATTAAGTATCGAAATTTGAAAACTTGTGGTATAATGTCATTTCCAATTTTAACTTCCAATGCTTATTCCTAAGCTTGTTTTTTTGTTAAATTACAATGCATTTACTCTGTTTTACTTCTACTCAAGTGTGAATCCTTAAATTCCAAAGTCTCCCTCCATAATCCAAGTTTAGTATTAACATTTTATTTTGAATATTCAATTAATGCTATGTCATTCACCAAGAGCATGTACTTTGGGACAATCTTTTGTATACCACTCGTAAGCATATTTAAGAATAAGTTAAACAAGTAAAGGTTAAAAACGGAGTTTTGAAGTAATCATATTCCTACAAGAAATTTTTAGATGTTTCCAGAATTTCTCACACATGTAATTATCTCCTCATACATGTTTTATTTTCTAAAACTTTCCATAGCACTTCTCTTAATACATGATCATATGCTTGTTTCAAGTTAATAAAAATCATAAGTTTTATTTTTGTATCAATACTTCTCCATCAATTTTGTAAAAGATATATAACTTTTGTTGAAGACTTTCCTGGAATAAAACCAAATTGATTCTAGAAAATTAGGAGAAATTTAAATGACATTACATTGGTATGAATCCTAAGGCTGACCATCTGTTTGAGTCGGCATGATTAGGTTCCTTGAGTCAGCTCGATTCTGTTGGGCACCTGAATAGTTTATTTAAACATAGGACTTTGTATCTATTCTTTTGAAATTGAACTTGTAGAATTAGGAAAGAGAGAGACAGATTAGTTTGCTGGAATTGGATACTCTACAATGTATAGAGACCCTTATATTTCTAAGGATACATATGTAACCCTAGTGGGTCAAGTCCACTATTATAATACTAAAATAAATCCTAATCCTAATACGTCTATTATAGCTATTCATAACACTCTCTCAAGCTGGAGAATAGATATTAATCATGCCTAGCTTGTTACAAATATAATTGTTACTTGTCCCATTTAAAGCCTTAATAAACACATCTGCTAGCTGGTCGCCTGTTCTAACATGAGAGATAGATATAAGCTTTTGTTAAACTTTTTCTTGAATAAAGTGACGGTCTATCTCAATATCTTTTATTCTTTCATAAAAGACTAGATTTGAGACAATGTGTATCGCTACTTGGTTGTCACACCAAAGTTGCATAGGGTTAGTGCTACCAAATCCTATTTCTTCCAACATATGTTTCAACCACATTAACTCACAAGTGGTTTGAGCCATCGCCTTGTATTATGATTCCACACTTGATCTCGATACAACGTTCTGCTTCTTACTTTTCTACGAAATTAAATTACCTTCCAAGAACACACAGTATCCGGTAGTAGATTTTCTATCTATAGATCCTGCCCAATCAGCATCAGAAAATGCCTCTATCTGTGCATGTCCATGATCTTTGTAGACAATTCCTTTTCTTGGTGATTTCTTTGAATACTTCATAATGCAAATTAGTGCTTCTCAGTGAGTATTCTTTGAAGATGCCATAAATTGGCTAACAACACTCACTAGAAAAGCTATATCTGGCCTTGTGACAGTTAAGTAATTTAGCTTGTCTACTAATCTCTTATATTTCTGTGGATTTGCAAAAAGAACTCCATTTGCTGTCAGTTTCACTTCTGGCTCCATAGGTGTCTCACATGGTTTAGCTCCTTTTAGTCCAGTCTCAGTCAATAAGTCTAAGACATATTTTCTCTGTGAAAGGAAGATTTCTTGCTTGGAGTACATGACTTCAATACCCAAGAAGTATTTCAAAATTCCTAAGTCTTTTGTCTGAAATTTGGTTTGAAGAAATTTCCTTAAGTTGCTTATTCCTTCTTTGTCTCTACCTGTAATAACAATAACATCAACATAAACAACAAGTAAAATATAACCACGGTTAGTCTGTTTGTAAAAGACTATATGATCACTCACTCCTTACTAATCCAAATTCCAGAATCATGTCACTGAATCTCTCAAACCATATTCTAGGTGATTGTTTCAAGCCATATAATGACTTTTTTAAACAACACACTCTTTCACACTTTCCCTGAGCAACAAAGCCAATGGTTGCTCGATGTACACATCCTCTTATAAGTCTCCATATAAGAATGCATTTTTGACATCGAACTGGAATAATGGCCAATGATGCATAGCCGCAAGGGAGATGAAGATACGAACATATGAGAGTTTAGCAATCGAAGATAACGTATCAGTGTAGTCAACACCATAAGTTTGGACATACCTTTTTGCAACAAGACATGCCTTCAAACGAGCCACAAAACTATCCGGATTAATTATCACAGTGTAAATCCACTTGCAACCAATAACCTGTTTGCCCTTGGGAAGAGGAACCAAATCCCAAGTATCATTCGTCTCAAGAGCCAATATTTCTTCCTCCATATCATGTCTCTAACCATCATGATTAAGAGAGTCTACACTAGCCATGAAGGATTTAGATGCAGAGGATAAATGAGCAGACGTCACTTAAGATGAAATAGGATAGGTACAAGATCTCTTACCTTTCCGAATAACAATAGGAAGGTCAAGGTCAGACATAGGATCTGTTGACACTTGAGAAGATAATGGTAGAGGTTAAGTTTCATCTTGAATATCATTAGCCATGGGGGCACATCATCTGAAGGCTGTTTTGGCCGGTGAGGTATGTCCGCTCAAAGAACTTAAAACCTGTATCAATTGGAGCCAGAGGTGCAATAGGATGTATAGATTGGACAAGAGTATAAGTCAAGAAAGGTTCATCTACCTCATACATGGATTCAGAAGATGAGGACTTAACGAATGGAAGACTTTAAAAGAAAGACACATAAGAGGAAATAAAATAACGACCAAGATCAGGAGAAAAACAATGATAACCTTTTTATGACCGAGAATAACCCAAAAACATACATTTGAGGGACTTTGGATCAAGTTTAGTTATTTGAGGACGAATATCAAACATAAACACGTGCAACCAAAAACTTTTAGAGGTAAAGAAAAGAGAGATTGTGATGGAAAAAGTATAGATGGGGGAATCTCACCATGTAACACAGATGATGGCATGCAAATAATTAAATATGCAGCAGTAAGAACAACATCAGCCCAAAAAAGTTTAGGAACTTTCATTTCAAACATTAAAGCACAGGTCACCTCCATAAGATGACAATTTTACGTTCAGCTATTCCATTTTGTTGTGGGGTAACAATACAAGAAGACTGATGAAGTATGCCATGTTTATTCATAAAATTAGTGAATGATGCAAAAAAATATTCTTTAGCATTATCACTTCTAAGCATGCACACACAAGTATTAACTTGAGTTTAGTTTGAACACAAATATTACAAAATATAAAAAAGACTTTAGATCTAGATTTCATAAAAAACAACCATGTTATACGAGAATAATCATTCACAAAGGTAATAAAATATTTAAAACCAGATTTAGAAGTAACTGGACAAGGGTCTCAAATATCAGAATGAACAATTTAAAAGGGAGCATGAGCCTTTTTATTTAAAAGAGGTAAATAAATATTACGATGATGTTTAGCAAATTGACATGACTCACAATAAAAATTAGACTCTAAACTAAAACATAATTTCTTAAGAACTCCTAAAGACAGATGACCCAGACGACAATGAAGTTAGAACAGAGACACTATTTCATTTCTAGATGCAATAGAAGCTTGCAGAAGTCCTTCCAATAGATACTACCTCTACCAATAATCATATGTGTCACCAGATCTTGAAAAACACAAGAATCAGAAAAAAAAATTAGGCTTAATTATGTTTTTAGCCCTTATAAATATAGATCTTTTTGTGATTAGTCCCTACAAATATTTTTGTTAAGAAGTGGCCCCACGTGACCTATTAGAGTCCTAGTTAGTTGCCTACGTGGTATTCAACGTAATTTATTTATTTATTTATTTTTTATTTAAAATTAAAATTTACAAATAAGCCTCTTAAACCTATTTTATTTAATTGCATAAAAACACTTTCTTCTTTCCTCACTCCTCCTTCTTCCTTCACCCCTTTTTCTTCCCCAGAAGCCCTTTCTAGTTGATCAATGTTCATTTAGATTCATGGCTTGGCAGTAATAAACATGACAACCACTCCATCTTTTCAGTAAGAAACACAGTGGCAAGATGAAAACCATGAAGAAAGTACATGAAAAATGCTATTAGAAGGGCACCACATATTAGTCATAGTCATTCCTGTCATTCTCCGACAAGAAGAGAAGAGAAAGACTGACAAGAAGAAAGAAACAAAATTAAAAGACTTTTATGCAATTATGAAAAATTATATTTAGAGATTTATTTGCAATTATATAATTTTAAATAAAAAAATAAATAACGTGACATGCTACGTAGGCAACTGACTAGGACTCGAATAGGTCATGTGGAATGCTGAGCTAGCTCTCTGCTATCCAGCTTAGTACTTAACAGAGTAGAGGTTAACGGCACGGACCAAATCCTAAATTACCAATTTTAAAAGGACCACTTTATAACAAAAATATTTGTAAGGACTAATAACAAAAAGGCCTATATTTATAAGGACCAAAAACATAATTAAGCCAAAAAATTATTATTGAGCAATTTAATGATGAAGTGATTTGGCTAATGGAGTGTTACAGAAGAATAAGAACTGGGTGGACAGAAAAAGGAATGGATACCTGAAACCCTAGTCATATGATTAGTAGCACTAGAATCAATGACTCAATGCCTGGAAGAAGAGGAAAGACATGTAGTAGAGTTATCTTTTTGGACAAAAGTGGCTGTAGAGGATGTAGACAGCTGTTAGGAAAGCTGAAACTGAGTATACTGAAGAAATTCCTCCTCATCATTCATTTACACAATACGTCCTTTTTTCTCTTGAGTAGCTGTATCAGGTTGAGACACCAAGTTAGAAAAGTAGGAATTACCTTGTGAGTGAAACAATGACTGATTTAAGCAGAAGATAAGTGCACACAATACCACGACCTCCACTACACCCATGGCCATGACTACCTCTATCACTATTGCGACCGCCATGATGACTATTGGGCTGCCAATGCAGAGTGGTCAGGAGACTCATTTTTTGTAGTGCTTTTGAGTTCCTCAAATGAAGACTGCATAACTTTGGAGAAGACATAGATAAGATTATCATCCTGCTTGCTTGACAGAATTTGAAACCGAACTACCTCATATTCCAAATCGGTAAGATAAATGGTATAATGATGATTTTATTCATAAATCAATTCTTGTGGGGTTTATGTTAACTTTTGATTTTTTAAATTCTTTAATTATTATAAGGATAGATTTGCATTAGAGCTGAGCCTTAAGTCCTTACTTGTTTAACCTAATCTTGGATGTACTTACTAGAGACATACAAAAGATTAATCATAAATGCATACTTTTTGTGGATGACATAGTCTTTGTTGACAAGTCAAGGGAGGAGTTAATTCTAAATTTGAGCTTCAGAGATAGACACAATCAAAGGGTTTTTGCTTTAGCAGGAACAAGACATAGTATTTATGCATTACCATTATAGCAAGAAACCAAATGAAAATGATTTCGAGGCACAAGGTTTCGTGTTTAAGTTTTTAGGATCTCTTTTATAGAATGATGGGGAGATTAATGAAGGTGTTGTACACAGAATACAAGCTAAGTAGTTAAAATAAAGAAAAACAGAGAGTTATTTGTCACCACGAAGTATCTATCAAGTTTAAAGGTAGTTTAAATGCATACATCTATGGTATAGAATTTTAAGACTTTTAAGGAATTACACAAGAAAAAGATGAGAGTAGAAGAAATAAAAATGTTAAGATAGATGTGTGGTAATACATGAAAAGGCGGGATAATAATTGATTGTACAGAGAGATTGGAGTAATACCTATTGAAGAGAAAATGACAAAATCGGTTAAAGTGGTTTGAGGCACTAGTAAAAAGGATTGATAGTTTGATTTTTAATCTTTGAAAAAGAGTAGATGAAGGAAAAAAAAATCTTGGAGGAAATCACCTAAGGGATCCCATGATAATTTCAGAAAACTGGTTTTATTTTCTTGCATTTGGGAATGATACATTGGGAGATATATACAGAATAATCATGACAGAATTAGGAACATTAATCTAGCCTAGAAATCAGGGAAATTGATCTCCCCATAAAAGCTAATTCTAAATAAGGCAAATACAAAAATTACGGCTAACAGTTATTACACAAAATCCTTAATGAGCTGTACAAGGGTTAATGTCTAAAATTTGGCTCTGATTGAGTCCAATGGCTTGATGTGATCCATGTAGTTGATCTTGCTTAGTGGGATATAGTTTTGTTATTGTTGTAAATTCTCTTTGAAGCACTAGGGTGAACCTTTTGTTCTTTGGGTTAATCCACCAATCACACAGTCAATGCTTCACAACTTGTGGATAATCCTTGGTACATAAAAAGTTTGCTTGTTCGTATTCATTTCCTTGTGAAGAAGCAGCCGTTATTCAAACATAATTCAAACTTGATTTGATACTGAAAAAGGTGAAAAGTGTTGATGTTATACACTTTTAAACTTCTTCAATTGCCCATTAAGGTGTTCTTATTTAAACTAATCTGTTCTTGCTGTTTCCTTTTATGATTCTTTGGCAGGCAAGGCAATCACTCATTGTGAGAGGTCTTTTTCCAATGCTCGCAGACCCACGACATCCAGTAAGAATTATTTGATGTCAAATTATTTAATGATGTAAAATGGGGATTGGGAACCCATGAAAGATCTCAAAATCTCAGAAATTCTTACTGTGCATATCTAATATTTAAAATATTAAAACTGAATGTCTCTTTTATATAATGCAAATTAATTTAAAGAAATTCTACTACTATCAAGCCTAACATTAAAATTTTGAATCAAAATAGCAAGTGAAATACTAGTCCAATTGAAAGTAAGTTATATTCTAAGGCCCGACCTCTAATCCCCAATTTCCAAATTGATTTCACCCTAAATCCAATTATAACTAAAAGTCCTTATGCTCGGACTAAAACTTGATATAAAATAAACGTCCTATCGTCTGATTTTTACCAAATTCTTTTTTCCATGCATTTTGGGCTTAGCCATTTCTCTTTGTAAAACTGATGTCTTTTTAGTATTGCTAGGGTATATTGTGGTCATGCACTTGTTAACATGTAAGTTTGTTTTTGGGTGCAGGCTGAGTCTAAAAGTGCAACAAATGAATCGATTTTGAAGGTTGCTTTAGACCATGGCAAGGCTTATGGTATCATAAAGCCACATGATCGTGTTGTTGTTTGCCAGAAAGTTGGTGACTCCTCAGTTGTGAAGATTATTGAGCTTGACGATTAGAACTTGGATCATGTTCAAGGTTGCATTATAAGATTTCTTCTTTGTTATTTTCTGTTGTATGTGTAATAATGAAAACAATTATAAGGTATCTTATAATGTGTTTTGATAATTACATCGGAAGAATTGCACTTGGTGAATGGATATCATCCATTGCCGGCAAACAAGAGATTGAAACATAACACCACTTACCCTTTTGTCAGTACAAATGCAAGTTCATTACCCGTAGATAGATACGTATAGATTGATTCCTCCACGTGTCTCCCTACTTTTACGTGCTTGCTTCTATCATGTATTGGATAATTAGCAATGTATATTACTGATTTGTCACAAATAATTTCATAAGCCCACGCCATTCGATCTTCTATGCTTTCTACAATGGTCCTGGTATTTCTATGACCATGAATGTTCTGTTGAATTATAGCCATCGACGGAATAATTAAAAGAACCTATTGTTATAAGGTAATCTGTTATTCAGGTTGCATTGTAGAAGTTTTGAAAATTGCTTCTTTGTTGTAAAAATTATTACTGAGGTGACTTGTTGAGAACTTGCTAAAATTATGAAGTTGTCCTTGTGGACATTTTAATGAAATGTATACAAGATTTTATTAATATAGTGTAATGATTGGTAATCCAAAGCTTGATTGATTATTATAAGAGGGCAAAAATAATAAATTGATATAGCAAAAATTTAAGTCATACAAATGAGTTATGCACACGTGCATGAAATCTATATCCTAATACCATTAACATAAAAGTAACTGTTAATTAATTGGGTTTAAAATAATAAATTTCAAGGAGCATTTGTTTGGACTAAAAAGTTAAGTCTCTTAATTATTGGAGCCTTGTTAACATATGCCTCAACACAGAGTGACAAATAAATGAATGAACCATATAGGAGCTTTCTTTAGTATATACAATTTATTATAGTCACTTCTACATTAACATTGACTCCATGAAATTATCAAATCTTAATGTTTATTTTCATTTACTGAATGGTCCATTAAGAAAAAAAATTATTCATATATTTTCTGAGTTTTATAATGCTCGAGATCCATAAAATACATGTCTTTCTCTCCTCATGGATCCTATAACAATTGGATTAGGTTCAAATCTAAAATTTTAGCCTGGTTTTTTTTTTAAAAGGTTGGTTTTGCACCTTTATTTTTACACCACAATATTTTTCTCTAATTTTATTTTTTAAAATTTCTGTGAACAATTTAAATTACTAAACAAAAATAAGAATAGGAAACATTTCCTAAAACCAAACAATCCCTCAACTTAGTGTAGTCGTTAGTTGAGCAAAATTAATGGAAAATAATCCCCTAAAACGGATGTCCTGTAATGCAGTGAACTAGAGTAACAGTTACGTAGGAGTTGAATTAAAAGATATCATTAGGGTCGTACAAGTATGTGATTCTTTCTTAAATCTCATTTTCCTCTCATTCTTTTTAATTATTTCATATTCTTCATCGTTCATCTCTTTCTACCTCCGTTCTCTTTTCTAATACCATCGAAGTTTCAATGGTACGAATAGAACTACATATATTTCTTTGTAATTGATGATAGGTGTACAATGTTTCTTCTGAAATTTCTTTGGTCCATTTGTCCAATAAATTTGCCTGAGCTAAGTTTATGAACATTATTCATAGCACTTCTAAAAAAGAAAGAAACCAGAAAGTGGTAGAAAAAAAAATCAGGAGAATCAAAATCAGAATTTTATCCACACAACTCAGCACTAACATAAGCAAACGTCAGTGAAGTTTTTGAGAGAATAACATTACATTTTGGAAAAACAGTCAGCTGTAAATATTGTGAGCTCAAATAATCACCAATGCACCTTAAGAAAAACGTTTTTCCCAAGAAAAGGTTACTTAAATTGTTCCCCTTTTTTTGGGATGAAGTACATATTACAACTTCGAAGTCATTTCTTTATTCTCATTGCTAATTAGCTTCAGTTGCTTGCTTTTTACAAAGCTATATCCCAATTAATTTGCTTCACCAAGAAAGCAGTTGAATCCCGATAACATCTAGTCCATTAGAAACCCAAAGATAATAATGAGAATCAGAATTCATTAAGATTGTTAGAAGTTATCTGCATTAGGAACATTTGCAATGTAAAAGTTCGTCAAAACATCCCAAATGTTTATGCAGACAATGCATAATTATAACTTATGAAAAGAGAGACTACAAACATAGAAATCAAACAAAAGAGTGCGAAACTAGATTTATATTTTATTGGCTGCCCAAATGAAAGAGAGAAATGCTAATTGTAGAACATATATATGTGTGTGTACCAATATTTTTTCAAAAGAAGATAGAGATATGTAAAAATAGAAAAATAAAATGTATAATGAGATAGGTGATATGTATATATATATATTTATATATATAATATTAGTGTTGTAAAATATATTCATATTTTCTTAAAACAATGCATGCAGGTTTTATTACCTGAGATTCCATTCAAAATCTAGGGGATTTGGACTTGTGCTGCCACCGGAGGCATATATAACACTGGTGCCATCTGTTGGTGTTTTTTTAAAAAATAATCTCAAATTAGTGTAAACAGTGCATTGTTCAAAATTCTAACATTTTTTTTCTTAAGCATCATGCTTAATTACAATTTTGGTCTTTCTAGTTTGAGACTAACGTTTTTTATCTCCCAAATTCTTATTGCACAATTTTGTTCATTCTAATTTGACACTTGTTCAATTTTTAGTCTAGTTTTCATAATTTTTTTATTACATTTATGCCTATCATTCAAGACTGATGAGTAATTTTTATCAATTATATTGAAGTGTCTTCATTTTGCAGTTAATTATGTTGTATCTATGTTAATTATGTTGATGATTTTAAAAAAAAAATTCTAAGATCATTATTTAAATATGAAAATTAGATAGTAAAATATCGACATCAATATACATTATCCCAAGCCAATATTTTCAGCCAAGTGAATCAAATGTACAAATACATAAGTATAATTAACATTTATTTCATCACAGCTCACTTAAAATTTGGATGACAAATTAATGGATACATATTTAAAAGAAAAGATAAATCAAAATCGCACAAATTAAAATTAGAAAGACCAAAATCAGAGAAACTATAATCATCAAACAAGTACTAAATTAAGTACACCAAAATTATGCAATAAAAAATTGAATGACCAAAATTAAACAAATATCAAATTAAAAAGATCAAAATTTGAAGCGAAGATTTCCGATGCATTAAATTCAAATATCTTATTATAAATATATATTTTTTAAACAGAAAATACCATCATGATTTAAATATAGTGTATTTTTATTTATTGTTTATGACTGCTTTTTTAATAATTTTTTCAAGAAAATAAAACCAATGATAGTACAATGATGATGATAAACTAATGTATCTAATAGGCATATACCTGAACTTGGCGTGAAAAGAGGTTCTTCCATGTTTGAATCTCATCCTCATTGTGAAGCTTTCTAATTCCTCCATAGTATCCACCTAATTGAACACCTTGTTCTCCCAAGTTCTTTCTTGATAACCTTACTCGTCTCATGTTTGATGCTTCAGCGTATTGCCTGAACTCCACAATCAATGTATCTATCACAAAAGCAGATTAAATGCAACATTTATAAGGTACCCATCTGGTTGTTGAAATCATATATAGCACTGTGATTTTTTATTATATGCTAAAAACATTCACAAAATATGAACAGATCGAATATTTCACATGTTAGTTTTATTAAACATGTTAAATTATGAAGTTTTTCTCTTTTAAAAAAACATTTCTCGGCAAATTTATTAAAATATTGTAAATTAAAAAATAATTTATTATTTTATAGGAAATCTGAAACAATTTCCCAATCTGGGATGATTTTGCCACGTTGGATCAAAATTTCGCCAAACGGCTGGCGAAAGTATTAATTTTTGAATTGTTTAATACCTATTTCGCCAGAAAAAGAACGAAATAAGACTTCTTAGAGCGGTTAAATTAAAACCGCTCTCATAGGTCTATTTAAGAGAGCGGTTCAAATGGAACCGCTCTTATAACTCATTTAAGAGAGCGATTCAAATGGAACCGCTCTCATAACCCATTTTTGAGAGCGGTTCAAATGGAACCGCTCTCATAACTCCTTTAAGAGAGCGGTTCAAATGGAACTGCTCTCATAACCCATTTTTGAGAGCGGTTCAAATGGAACCGCTCTCATAACCCATTTTTGAGCTATATACAGTAACTCGTATCCCGAATTTCGCCAACCGAATTGCGAAATGTAAGTACAATTTTGCATATTTGATGGCAAAAATTTTGTTTTAATATATTTTTAAATTAATTTCGTTACCGGACTGGCGAAACAAATAGCCTCTTCTTCATTTTCGTTGGCGAAATTGCACACTCCGATTTCAGGGTTTGAGCACTATATATATCTCCAACCCTTCTCTCATTTTCATCGGAAGGACATATTAGAAGAAAATCTCAGGTATGTGTTATTTAATAATTTTATTATTTAATTTTGAATGTATAATTTTAGTTATATTTAATTAATGAGTATTGTTTATTTTATTTATGTTAATTATTGTAAAGTTTAAATATTAAATAAAGTTTATTTGAATAAAATGCAGGATGAGTGAGATTGTTATTATTATATATTGGAATGGTAGAATCTATGAAGGAAATGAAGGAGTAAGTTTTGAAGAAAGTAAAAAAGTAATTCAAATAAAACGAGTAATAAGTTATGAAACATTGAAAAGAAAAATTTATGTGAAACTCAATCTTAATCATAATCAAGTGATTTCTATATTAATTTCTCGTTTTTTGATTGATGAAAATATTAGACAGTATACAGCTTTGGATATATGTGATGATGAAGATATTGATTGTATGATAAGTGCATTTCAACAACAATCTAGTAGAAATATTATTGAGTTATATGTAGATATTGCTGTTGGTGGAAGTTCATCAATGTCCTTACAGACGATGAATTTAAATTTATCACTTTCACAACAAAATGATAGGACCCTTGTGAGTCGTGATTATAATGAAGGTAAAATTATTTTTGTTCTAATGTCTTTTATTTAATATATGTAATTGATTGAATTAAAACTGATAAATTTGTTGCAATAAAGGAGTTAGGAATGATGCTGATGAAGATAATGAACACTCAGATTATGAGAGTTACACTGATGGAGATGATGAAGCAGAAATTTCATTAGGCAGTTCTTCTTCTACTGATGTTGAAGGCGAGTTTAATTCCAACTTACATATACAAGTAACCGAAAATGTAGGAGGTAATGTGAAATAATTATAAAGAATTTGTTTTTTGTGGTTATTTATTTATATATTAATGATTTTTTGTGAAATAATTATAAAGAATTTGTTTTTTGTGAAATATAATGCAAAAGATACTGTAATTCCTTTTTAGAATGTTACTCCAAAGTATAAGTATATTAATTGGGTATATGTATAGGTATAGAGTATTTGAACGACTATTCTGGTCATTCGAACAATGTCATGAGGCTTTTAAATTCTGCAAACCTATATTACAAGTGGATGGGACGTTTTTATATGGTAAGTATCGTCATACGTTGCTCATTGCAACAACTCAAGATGGAAACAATTGTGTTCTTTCAGTAGCTTTTGCAATTGTTGAAGGAGAAACACTGTCAGCATGGGAATGGTTTTTGGCATTGATTCGTTTGCATGTTACCGATAGAGCAGGAATTTGTTTGATATCAGATAGACATCAAAGTATAAAAGGAGCTGTGTCAAATCCACACATTGGGTGGCAACCTCCAAATGCGTATCATGTATATTGCATTCGTCATATTGCCAGCAACTTTAATCACTGGTTTAAGAATATAGCATTGAAGAAAGAGCTCATCAAATTGGGTATATTGAATTTTTTTTATCTAGATTATGATTAAATTATTAGATATCCATCGAATTCGTGGATAGATATTTTAATGTTTTGAATGTTGTATATGTAGGTTATACACCATCGAAGGTCATTTTTCAGCAAAAGTTAACTAGATTTCGCAATGAATCTGAAGATATAGAAAGGTGGATTGACAGTATATCAAAAGAGAAACATGAATACTCTGAAACCGAAGAAGTGATGGATCTTCTGGCCCGGGATTAATAACCCTACTTTGTTGTGAAGATGATGTCATCTATACAAAAAAAAATAAATATATTAGTCAAAAAATTTCATTCAATAATAATAATAATAATAATAATTTATATTTTACTAACATATTAATAATACATAAATTTTATATAAATACAATTTTAAAATTTTACTTCAATATAAGTGTAAAATTTTTTTATTACAATCAAATTAAGTATAAATTATTATATTTAGTTTTATATATTTATTTTATTTAACTCAATTTTTATTATTCTGTATTTTAATAAATATCTATAATAATTCCTGTAAACAAATTTTATAAATCTTAATTTAACCTATCTTCTTAACAATTAATTATAATTTTATATTTTAATTAACTATATCACATTTCATTTTTTCAAAAAACATATTAATCTATATATAAATAAATAAATAACTATTTAAATTTTAAATTCTTTTTTACTAATCTTTAATAAACTTTCAGCATATTCTTCACTCACCCCCACTTAATTACCAAATCACTTACATACGTAGAGTTTAAAAATATTACAATATTATTATCAGATTTTCTAATTAACAAAATCAAATTAAACATAATATATAAATGCATGTTGTTATAGTTCCATACCTCTTAAATTCGTAGCAGTATTTGATCCTTCACAGCAAATCAAAACAAATTTTGAAACTTCGACGATGATAGAGGAGGAGAGACGGAGAAAATGGACGACGAAAGAGGAGCAGAGACGAAGAACATGTAAATGGAAAGGAAGGAGGACGACGGTCAAAAGCGGTTTCGCTAACTGCAGTGCGAAATGAGCTTTCGCCAGTAGCAGTGCAAATCATCTTAGATGTTGCCACGTGTATCAAAAGCCCCCTAGCCGTCCATTTTAAATCTAAGAGAACGGTTCCAGCAGAACCGCTCTCTAATATGCACTTCTGAGAGCGGTTAGAGCAGAACTGCTCTCTAAAATTGACTTATGAGAGCGGTTCAGAAGCAACCGCTCTCTTAAATGGACTTATGAGAGCGGTTCGAAAGGAACCGCTCTCTAAAATGAGTTATGAGAGCGGTTCTGCTGGAACCGCTCTCTAAAATAGACCTATGAGAACGGTTTTAATTTAACTGCTCTAAAAAGTCTTATTTCGTTCTTTTTCTGGCGAAATAGGTATTAAACAATTCAAAAATTAATACTTTCGCTAGTCGTTTGGCAAAATTTTGATCCAACGTGGCAAAATCACCCCAGATTGGGAAATTGTTTCAGATTTCCTATAAAATAATAAATTATTTTTTAATTTACAATATTTTAATAAATTTGCCACATTTCTCTTTTCTGCCTTCACTCATATACTCGTCCTTTTTCGTTTTAATTGAAAGTATTTCGTAACATTTTTCACCAAAAGTTATTTATCCCATATAATTATTGTAAGAAATGAAAAGAGTTAATTTTATTATATAGTTATTCATAAACAGTCAAAATTATTTTAATAAACTCTAATTTTAGTCATATATTGAGATGTTTTTTTGTCACATTTTTATTTCTCACATAACATATTTCTCAAAAATTTAAAAGCATCAAATAACTAAAGTGCTGAAAACTAAAATAACAAAATAATTATAAATGTCTTTAAACAGTTAATTACTATAAATAATATTTTTTTCTAGATTCATCAATTTTAGTTTAGAAAAAAAAAATTTGGACGGTGAAAACCATGTAATTTCGGTCACTCATATTTTACTAAGTGTCTATTTTTTCTTAATAAAAAATACATGTGTTATGTTATTAGTCACGACTATAAAGTCTCAACCATGAACAAATTTAAAGAAGGAAAATGAAAAAGATCTCTCACCACTGCAATGACACTGACAATAATTCTCATTCCCATTGCAAGAGTCTAAGTGACCTATAACAGCATACCACCAATCTGCAATACATTTAACCAGTTGTTACAACTTTATGACTAAAAAATCATGGATCTAATCACCATCTAGCTTCAGTAATATTCTTTCTTTTCCCTACTGAAAGAAATAAATAAGGTAAAGTCACTCAATATCAAATATTAGAAAATTACATTTTGTCCAAAATACACATATGACATTGAGCGTGAGAGATACCCACAATATCAAATTTATGAAGTCTCCATGAAAATATGTTTTTTTTAATTAATTATTATTAATTTTAATAGTTTTTTTTGGACAAAGTAAAAAAGAGAATATATATATATATATATAAACAATGCATTTTCTTTTATATGGTTGGAAAAAAATAAAGAAAAAGTTGACTTTCTTTAAAAAATTTCTCCCCGCTTATTTTTTCTTCAATATAAAATTAAAATTGTGTCTCTAGAAAAAAAAAAAAGATAAGGAATTAATAAGAAAGATACCATAAGGACATTGTGTATTTCCTCTCCACTGGACCTCAATATGATCCTCAGGTTTCAAGCTATCCAAACAATCAGAGACGTGCATCACAAATGGAGGAGAATGAACTGCTGGAATCCTCACCATATCCCACTCAATATTCTTCCCTAATAATCGCCAACCACCACTTTGATACCTAATTAACATAAACGTAATATTTTTATTTATTGTCATATGTAATTTATAATTTTATTAATTTAAAAATAAAAAATTTTCCCCCTCCACCCTTTTTTATTTTTCAAAAAAGAAAAACTTCCTTCCAATAACTCCTTAAATTTCATGAGATATAACCATTCAAATCTAAAATATTAATTTCATTGAGAATGGAGATGATCTTAGGTGTCGGTGTGAAGATTGTTTTACTGAAATTTAATTTAAACTATTTATTTTGATTATATGATTAATACTAATTTCTCTCATTCTCACAGTCTCACTTAATATATATATAGGTCAAACTAAAATAAAATACATACCTTGCTTGAAAGGTAGTAGATTGAGAGTCATAGCTAACTAAAGCATGGTGAATCATCAACCCCTGCAAAGAAATAACTGACTTGAAATATACAAGATATAAATGACTTCTAAGTTCTAAGCAATAAGCTGGTTCCAGCTTTTACCTTGTAGACCTGAGCAGGAAACCAGAACCTACCACACTCAAGAGAGAAATACAAAGCCATCATGAACCTGTTTGACCGTTGACCATTGAGGACGTTGCAATCATCCAAGTATGAACCAAGATATAAATTAGGCCAAGAACCAACAAAAGAGCCCAATGATCCATTCTGATTGGTGGGTTGATGCAAGAAATTCCCTTCTTTTGCAGCTGTTACATGCAATTCCCACTCCTTATAAGCAGCATCACCAATAACTCTACCCCATTTGTGTTTAATGTGATTTTCCCAATAATGATCACTTTGACACTTATCCCTTAAATAAGTACACACCTGAGACAATGTGTAGAGTTCTATTGGAGAGAGGCGCATGAGAATGAAATCCAAGGTCGATTCAGGCAAATCCAAGAAGGAGAGAGGACCCCTTTTAGCATTCTTCTGGTTCTCCATGTTTGATTGAGGCTATTAGGCTAATATTTTCTTGGAGAAAAAAGAGAAGAAGAATGAATCTGCCTCTCTGATGACTGATGAGGTAGCAGAGTGGACCAACTTTGATATGATCATCACTATTTCTTTGCTTTTCACGTACTAAGCCGGCTATGCCTCACTGTCAAGCGAGTGAAACACACAGAAAAGCCACCATAATTCATGTTTTTAGCAAAGGAAAATGATTCTTGAACGTCTAAACGGCGATACCATTAGTTTTTTTTTTTTTTTTTTTGTCCAATGTATTCTTGACATGTGTGTATACAACAAAACTAAAAGGTAGGTGAGACTTAGACTCTTTTGAGAGATAAAAATGTTACTGTGCTGTAAATTTGGCCTATTTCTCCTCTATTTTTTTTAGAAAAATTAATAAGATTTTACTTTTAAATTTGTGTAAATTTGATTCGATTATTAGTTTTATTCTACTTAATGTAAAATTGTTGTCAACCAGTTAGAATACATTATATATATGATTTTTAAATTGAATATTCTATAAATAAATGATTCTTACTGATATAAAATTTCATGATCGGATAAAAGTGAAAAGAAATTATACTAACAATGTATTTAAATAAAAAATTACATTTATAATATAAAATGTTTCTAAATATTTAAAAATAAAAAAATTCTAAAATCTTGACAAGATGTGAAAAAAAAATTAAGATGCAAGATTATAGTTTAAGAATAGAAAATTTTAAATTTTATATTTTGATTGAATTTTGGTGTTTGGATTAGTGTGTTTTAAGGGAAAAAAGGTTAAAAATTATTTAACTAGTTAAATCAATCAACATCTATATATAATTTCTAAGAACTAATTCTTGAAGGAGGGTATTTTTTAGTTTTTTTTTATAGTGCCAAGTGTTTGTTTTATACCGTGCATTTATTTTTAAAATTAAAAATAGTTTATATTTTAAACTACTTTTTTCTAATACAAGTTAAAAGGTAATGATAACTCAAATTTTATCCTTGTCATTTTACAAGTGGGGTGGGCACTAGTCGAATTTGGTCAGATTCGACTCAGAAAACCCAAAATCGAAGTAAACTGAGCTCAATACAATGTGACCTACATGCATACAATGTCAATGTTATGCCAAATTACTAATTATAGCCTTACATTTTTCAATTTGGATTAGCCATATATACTCACTTTAAACTAAACTTTTTAAAATATTTATGCGACACTTGCTCCTATCCACACTTTTAACACATTATTAATATGTTGGTTATAAATTATTAATTTTTCATCGAGTTTTACCGATAGCCCAAAGAAATGCTTTAGAAATCTAGTAATTGAGAGGAATTAGATATATTTAGTTTTGATTTGAGAGACTTGGTGTGTAACTAAAGATTTCAATTTAATTTTATTTGACTATAAGAAAATTAAAGGGTATAAAAGCTATAAATCATAGGGCTATAGTGATTTTTTTCCCTATGTTCCAAAACCTATAAATTATGAGACTTAAGTTTTAAGTTTTAGGGGCTATTAAAATTAATTCCTAATTCATATCCCTATTGCTAAATCTGATCATGTTATTTGAAGTTAGACATCTATGAATTCTTAATAGGAGTAGAGACATTTTTAAGTCTTTATTTCATTGGGCTATTCATATAATTTTTCTAATTAGGTTAAAAACTATTAGCATATTAGTGATAGTTGGCATGATAATATAAATAGGTTTAAATCTAATATACATGTTTAGAATAATAAAATATTTATTAATGTTTTTAAGTGTAAAAGAAGAATATTTAATAGAATTTATAAAGAATTATCTAAAAAGAAAAATCAATTTCTATTAAGACTAATGAACATTTCGTCCCAAAGAACATCAGAATATTCTTAACCACAAAAAGACATATTGGTTTCACCAAAATTAATCACAAAAAGATTCATTTGAGAGATAAAAATAATAAGTTTTTTTATTAGTCTACAGTCATTCATTGAAAAAAAAAAAAGAAGGGGAGGAGATATTAAGACCATAAAAGGCTGTATTATCAATGAGTTTACAAACCAATCAACTAAAAATATTGTTACCCTTTAGCATGAGAAATTATAAATACTTTGTACTTGATAGTTTTCATGCTTTCTTTTTGAAAATTCAATAGGATTTATTGTACCCCATATTCTAATTTGTTAAGAAAAATTTTGTTAATCCTTCTAAATTAGAGTATGTTAATCAAACAGTCCTAACTCTCATTCTGAATGTTATTGCCTCAGAAAAGATAAATTAATTTTAGCCTATTTCGCTTTGTAATGTTAAATACAAGATTGTATACGATATTTTTGTAAATAAAATCAAGTATATTTTCTCTTAGTTAATTAAAAAAATTAATGTAATTTTGTTCTAAGAAGATAAGGGATGTATAATATCATGATTCTCTAGGAAATGGTGCATTCTTTTAAAAAATTTAAAGATAATAAAAGTTTTATGATTCTAAAATTTAGATTTAAAAAAAAAAATACATAATAAAGTTAAATGGTGTTTTATTAAAGAATCTTTTGAAAAAATCTAATTTGGTAATTCTTAGACTGAATTAATTCATAACTATTTGTCTTTCTCTTCTTCAGTCTACATTAACTGAAAAGGTGAGTTTTTAGACAAGTTTTTGCCCTCAAAATGCAAATGATCATTTTTCTCTTTATATTTGTATCATGTATGGAAAGATTAATCCATTGTATTTAACATTAGGTGAGTGGAATCTCATTGCCTTTAGCAAAGAGGATCTTAAAATTTCATATTTATTTTATGCTAATAATTTAATTATGGTGGCATAAGTCATTATTGATCAAGTTCATTTAATTCAATATGTTAATAATTTTTGGAGACCTCCAACAACCAAATTAATAAATTCAAATCTATAGTATTATTTTTCTCTAGTTTAGAATTGGAAGGAAAAACTAAGTTGAGTAAGATATTAAGTATTAAATACTTTGATAATTTAAATGCATATTTGGGTGCTCCAATTTTAAGTACTAGGTCTAAGAAAAGTTTATATATTGATATGATAGATAGCATTAGAGAAAAAAATTATTTATTTGAAAGGAAAATTTCATTTCATTTGTTACTATTGCTCGATCTAATATATCTAGCATCTTAAATTATACTATGCAATTGTATCTTATTCCTAAAGGGGTATGTGAATAAATAAATTGTATTTATAGAAATTTTATTTGAAGTTAATTCATTCTAATAGGAAATTTCACTTGATTTTTTGGGATAAAATGTCTCCCTTGAATCTAGTAAGGTTTAGGTTTTAGATATTTATTAAAAAAAATATATTTAGCTTATATGGTTAAATTGGTTATAGGGTAATTAATAATTCTAACAATATTTGGATTAAGGTTCTAAAAGATAAATATAAGTTTAATTTAAATAATGATTCAATAATTGAAAAATCAAGTATTGAATTTGTGGTGGGGAAAAGTATTTCTAGTGCTTGAAGAGAATTTATCAGTTTTTTTTTTCTTTTGAGATGAGTTTAAGGCTAAATTCAAAACAAATTTTTATATCTTGGTATTTCATGTTTAGTTCAACTATCTAATGTAACTATTCCTGGTAACTTTCTAAATCTTCCTGTTGCTTGTTACTAATATGATTGGAATTAGGGTTAAATTAGACCTTTTTTGTTTCAAGTCAGATTTGTATTTTAATTACAAATATTATTCCTTCAATGTTAAATGCAGATCCAAACATTGTAGCTAGTTTTCTTTCTCAAATAATTTTTTTTTTAAATTAACTTATGTGTTAATTGCAAGAATTATATATCATCCTTGTGCTAATAATTATGTGTTTACAACTAGTTAAAATTGGCCTAGTCCATAGAAAATTAGAACCTTTTTTTAGAAGGTGGTTCATGGTTAATTACTAACTAATGAAGAAAGAAAGGGAAGATTTTACAAATCCAAAATATCTATCAAAATTTGTGGTGACTTATGCTTTCGTGTGGACCAGCTTGACTTAAACAAGATATGAAAAGGATGATAAACAAATACAAGAAAAGATGAAAGATAAAAGATGAAAGATGATATCAAAATATCTAGAGTGCTAACCTAGGTCATCCTCTTATGAATCATTGGGTGAGTGTCCAAATATCAAACATATGGTGTGTAATGGATTCAAAAAACAGGAAAAATTTTGTTGTTTCTAAGTTTAAAGGTATTCATTCAAGCAAGAAATTAATTTGTAAGATTCGATTAACAAAATGTGTTAACCCCTAGCTTGTCCTTATTAATTCTATCACAAATTCTCTTAAAATTTAATACTTTAACCTTCCTACAAATTAGGTTAATTAAACAAGTGTCAATCAACCCTAAAATTCCTTGTGAAATTAAGCAAATCACATAGACTCCAATCCCTAATTCTTAGGATTAAGCAACCTTAGAATTAAACCTAGAATTAAGTAAACTAAGTTTTGAACCATTTGTTAAAAACAAAATAGAGTTTGATTAAGCAACACCCTCCATTTAATCCTTAATTTAGTTTCAAAAGATTGAGGAAGAAGAAATTTATAAAAAGAATTCGTATTAACATTAAACCCAAGATTTGAAGAATTCATATGAACTTCACTAGGGATTAACAACAAGATTTAGCCCTCCATGAGGATGGGTTTCATCATTACAAGCATTTAATACATGAAAAATAGAAAAATAGAGTAAAAGAGGAAAAGAAATGGAAACCCTAAAATGGTAAAAGGTTCCTACCCTAAATGGTAAAAATTTATTTATAGTAAACTTGACACCCTCCGTAGTAATTACTATCGTTCATGATAGTAAACACGTGCAACATCCATGAAGTTTTCCCTTTTGGTAGTGATCACTTTCGTTTGTGAAAGTGATTACGCGCAGCGCGTGTAATTACTATTATGGATAATGAAACGTGTGTAGCATGCGTCACTTTGGAGCTCTCTGTAGTGTTCACTATCATCAATGATAGTGAACACGCACAAGTATGCACCTCTCATTAGCTATGTAATAATCACTATTGCTTCTGAAATTAGTTACTTTGGCTTGTCCCTTAAAAGTAGCTTGTTGTAGTGATTATTATGGTGTCTAAAAGTAATTACTTTCACTTCATATTTTTTTAAGAGCCAAGAATTCATAAAATTTGTCTAGAAATTCCTGCACCATTATTTAAGTGATCAAAATTACAAAATATATTAACAAAAAAATAAGCGTAAATTGAAAAAAATTAAGAAAGCTATGATAATTGACCTAAATGAGATTTCTATGGTATTTACAATTTCTAAGTTTGTTTTTCTATTAAAAATCAATAAAAAGGTAAACAAAATATCAATAAAATGTGGATTCATCACAACTCTAAATTTAAATCTTTACTTGTCCTCAAGCAAATCAAAGCTCAAGAAAATTGAACATAGAGGGTTTTGGATTTATCCAAAAAAATTTCTCAAAACTTTTCATTTCAATCTTAGACTCTAATTAGCACTTCCAATATTTTCAAAATCATGGATTTATTCAACAGAGAAATTACACTCTTACCAATCATTTCCATGCAAAGTCCTACTAAATTGAAATAAAGATCTAGTAAGGTTTTATGCAATTCACATAATGCAAGAAATTATCTGCTCACATGATAGCGTTTTGCTCTTCACTCAATAATGTTTTAAGCTAAGTGTTTCCCTTCAATTCATGCATTTTGCCTCACCTTACCATATGTTTGCCCATATTCTCAATCTCTTTTGCCTTGATACAATGAACCACATATAAAGAGAACTTTGTTGGTCACAAATAGGTTAGATTAGATTCAACTTTGATCAAGAAGGGTCAAAAGCTCAAGTAATTTTTCAAGAGAAGGGAGTTCTTTTGAGTGAATGAACACAACTATAATGGAATGCATTAAATGATGCAATTGAAAAGGTTCAAACATTCTTTCACCATGTTTTTTATTATTTTTCCTTATGTGGGAATCATTTTCAACTCATGACCCTTGTTGTATTTTTCTTTTCTTTCTTTTTCATTCATTCATTAATTGTGATTTTGTGGGCTTTGACAATCATTCTCTTCTTCAAATTCAAGCATTTTTTTTTACATGTATTATTAACATGTATGATGTTCACTACTCCAAACTTAAGAGTTTGCTTGTCCTCAAGCAACTACAGTCATAATCAATACCACAAATTTAGTTTTTTGCATTCATTCTTGATGTAACTCAAAAGAAATTTCTCTCTTAAGGTAAGGAAAAGAGTTAGGTTGACTAAGTTTGACAAAAGAGGTAAATCTGGAACAAGGTCATTAGGTGCAAGGGTGTTTTAGGGTGTATGAGTGTGTGGAAAGAAGACCTCAATCATCTAAATAAATGATTGCACAATGCACATTCAATAAGAAGCAGGGCAAGTTCTAAAGGATGAAAGCAAAAATACAAGTAAAGTGTACACACACAAAAAATAAAAAATTAAAGCTCAAGCTCAATTCTCTATCATGGTAAAGGTGATAATTACTTAGTAACATGTGAGTACAATTCACCTTACAAGAAAATATGTTCAGTATGATAGGAATATGAATTATTCACAAATAAAGAATGATCATAAGTTGAATAGGAAGCGTAATCAAAACATAAAATTAGAATTACAAAACTGAACAAAATTAAAAAAAAGAAAATAATACAAATATTTTTGTATTTATCTATTAACTATGCAAGAAAAGTAGACTAAGAAAATATGAAATAAAGGCAAAGAAATCACCCTCCCCTTTCATAGAAGATAGATTCACAATTCAGGGATCAAATTCATGCTCCTCTTGATGGGACTGAGGGCACACTCTGCACGGAGACGCACAATGGATTCAAGTGATCAAAATTACAAAAGATATTAGCAAAAAATTAGCGTAAATTAAACAAAAATTAAGAAAACTACGATAATTGACCTAAATGAGATTTTTATGGTATTTACAATTTCTAAGTTCATTTTTCTATTAAAAATCAATAAAAAGGTAAACAAAATATCAATAAAATATGGATTCATCAAACATACATCAGAAACTATATAGTCACTTGGCATGCAGAGCTGAAGAGAAAAGAACTAATGGGATAAAGTGGTTTTCTGAATGCGATCAAGGCCATTGAAAGGGCAATATCCAATATGAAAAAAGAACCCTTTGAAGGTGTAGAAAATTGGAATGCAAGGTATTGAGCTAAGATTGTACTTTCCTAGCTATTTCGTCGCCAAAGTTCAATGTTCATTACACTAAGTATTTAGCTTGCACGGCCTAAATTTACAATGGGAATGTAATGTTCCACATTTTCTAATTGGCCATTTTGAACTTGAGGCAATGGATGCAAGTGGGCAAGTATTTACACATGAAAGCTTCCAAAATTTTGGGCCTAAGACTTTAGAAAATTGTCTATTAGTAGTAAGAAGATGAAGTTTTGAATATAAAAAGATAAAGATGAAAAGAGAATGAAGAAGAAAATGTGCTGAAGACAAGATTGAAGATTTGAGGAGAAAGATGATAAACAGTGACACAAAATACACGTGACATGAAACAACAAAATTTTTTAAAAAATTTAGGGTCTTTAATAAAAAAATACTTATTTGAAACTTTTTAAAAAGTTAGAGAATTAAAATAAACCAAAAATAAGTTAAAAGATAAAAATAAATTTTATCTTAAAGTTAAGAGACGAAAAGAATAATTTTGTCTTAAATTAATGTTGATTAATATTGTTATTTGCAGCAACATAAATTTAAGTATGAGTAAATTTTAAAAAACACATATAAAAGTATGTACTATATATTATTCAAATGTGTGCAAATGTCATCCCGAAAATCAAAATTTTACTTCTACTTTCTCCTATCACAAGAACAAATTTGCTTGCGTGTGATGATATAATTAGTTTAATCCTAGTGATTGGTTTTTCGTTATTTTCTATAAGAATCAATTCTTGCAATATATATATATATATATATATATATATATATATATATATATATTACTCCATGCATCAACTAAAGATAAGCCCAGTTAAGGACAAAAAAGACAAGCCCACTTATCTTTAAGATAACTCTTAATTAATAAAATAAAACTTGGTCTGCATTATGCCATATGGCGTGGAAGTGTCTATAGAAAGCAAGAGAATACGGACTTGGAAATGCATATGATAAGCCATAATTTCTAGATCCGCTTTTGCAAGATATCATTTCTCCGTGCAAGCTTGCATAAGATAATAAAATAAAATTGTATTACAAAAAGGAAAGTCTTTTAACAGACGTCCCCAAAGTGTAACGCTAATGCAGCGAGCTTTTTTGACATCTCACGATTCTTACAAAATAAATGTTTAAAATGAAAAAATTACATTAGAATCATATTTCAAAAAATAAGATTACAATATTCATTAATGTATTATTCATATTTATGAAAAACATAATTAGGGCTCATTTCGGACTTGAGGGTTTAAAATTTGAGTAAATCAAATTTGTCCCTTGATACCTTAGTATATAATTTTAACTCCTATATTTTTAATTCTCTTTCAATGACACGAGTTATAATATAGAAGACCTAACTATTCTTTTGATCCGCATACTTCAACTTATGCTTAATTATAATCCCTCTAATTTTTAATTACTCGCATTTCATAATAAAAAGCCAATTTATTTTTATTTAATTATTTTATATACTTTTTCTTTACAAATTGATATAAATCAATAATATATTATATATTTATTATATCTTTTTACTAATTATTAAATAAAATTTTGATAAGACTTAATGTAAACAGTTGAAAAATTATGGACTAATTAAAACAAGAGGAAACCAAAATTATACATAAAGTTTAGAAACTAAAAATAACAAAGCACGACACCAGTAAAACGTCAGTTAAATTGTTTAGGTAGCATAAAACGACATAATCAGTTAAACGTGTATATAATTTCAGCTGTAAATCATGATTCAAGACACTAATAAAGTGCATTAAACGCCATAATCAAATCTCTAGTTTGCATAGCAGACAGAACCCTAAACCAACTAGCAGAAAGAGCTTTTATCTTTTAAGATAGAGAGCATGAGCGAGAAGACACCGATAATGGAAAATCAACAACAAAGAAAATGAAACAAGGGCAGATCAAAATGATTGAGCCCATCATATAATCGTGTAAGCACCTAAAAGGAAATAATTAAAGGTTTGTGTCCATTTACTCAGCAAACAAGGGTTTCCAACATTTGACAGGAAAGAATGTAAGATTATACAGACAACTTCTCCCACCAGTTAATATTACCAATTTATATAATGATTACTGATTAATTGATGCAATTTGTTAACCAGGAAAAAGACAATGAAGTTGCAAAACATGCATTTTGGACATTAAAAGGGGCTAATAACAATGACAGAACCCTCATTGCACAATATCTAGCAAGCAACGGAATTTAATTTAAAAATTTTATGAAAAATATGGAAAAAGATTAGCCAAACTACCCGTGAACAGAGAAAATGCACCAAGCCCCATATCACAGTAGATAAGTAAGGATGAATGCGGGAGAGGAGAGAAGGGTGGGGTGATAGATGGAGGATTCTTCTTACATCATCTTCGTAATTTCTTCAGCCCTGTTTTACCTGTTTTTCTACCTTGACAACGTCACAGTTAGCACACCTGATATTGGTTATTTGAACCACAGAATAATCAATTTTATTTCCAAATCTTTACAGATTTGTCATGACTGGCAGAAGCAACCATTCCTGTCACTGGTGATTGTGCTAAGGCAGATATCACACATTCATGAGCTGAAATTGACATGGATCTATTCTCGGCCAGGTTCCATAGCTCCAATGACTGCAAAGCATCAATTAAAGAAAAACGAAGCATGTAAGAAAAAAGCCATGTTTGCAATCATGTGATATGGTGCAAAAACAAGTTCCAGTATGTTGGCAAAATGTCTTTAACAAGATGTTTCCAATGAAAAATAAGAAACAATAGATGGCCTGTTCTGAGAATATTGACTTCCAAATTCAAACTAATGTTATGAAAACTGGATTAAAACAAACTTTAATCTTGTAAACTAATTCGATAATGCCACTCTAGTCCTATCTGGATCTAAGTTCCAACCTGTTACAGTCATAGTTTTCCCTTATGTAACTATGAGGCATCTACGCTGAATTTCCACTTAGCTTCAACTTCGCAATATTTTGTACCAGTATTTTACCCAGTTGTGTCAACATAACAATAAACCAATCCTCAACCAAAAATCATACTTGTGTTACGGTAATCTCATAGGTTTTCTACATAGCTTCTCATCAAATGGTAAAAAGGGAGGTAGCAAGGGATTTAATACACAGCATTATGAAACTACTCTCCAAAAAGCGTAGTCACAAATCAATTCTTTCAGAAGGTCAAGTTGTGAAGTGAAAAAACAGGAACAGTTTCTTGAATTTGGGCTCGAGCCAGATTCAACTCCAAAAATTAAGTCACAAGGTAACTATTGTTTTAATCTTTATAAATTCTACTTTAGTCATAAATGTAGACAATGTGGGACTTTAACATATCCTCTCATACTCAGGCTAGAGGACAAATTTTTTGTTCTTTTAAATATTGCACTACGAAAGTTGCAAGGCCAAGTAAGTTGCACTGAGAAAGTTGTGGAGTCAAGTATGTTGCACAGGAAAATCCATGGGGCCGCTTAATTGCACTGAGAAAATCAATGGAGCCAGATTGTTTTTTCTTATTCAAAGGTAGCCCAATATTGGATCTTCGAAAGGCCTACTAGCATTTTGAATTTGGGCTTAGATTTAACCTCAAAAGCTAGCTCATTCTGAAGATTGCTTTAGATTTTAAAAATTTTACTTTAATCATATTTGTAGTCGTTGTGAGACTTCAACAAGTTCTATACTTTTAACATCTCTAACACACCATTTTCTCTACCGATGTGGTTCACTTTTTAGCATATAGAACCTATCTTGCACTTAACAAGCCTTTTAATTTAATTTCACAGCTTGATGACCCCAATAAACATTTACTCCCATATCCTTCAATGTAAACACACACAACTTGTTGTAAAGAAAACCAAGACAAAAGATATAATAATAAACTGAAATAAAGAACAATGAAATTGAAAAATGAAAAAGTGCAAAAAGGTCTAACAAACAATACAGCTTGACATGTACAAATATACCTGGTATCCACCAATAACCAAGAGGGTAGTGGAGTAGCTTGGGTGAAAAACACAAGAATGAAACATGTGTCCACTGGCACTAAGTTCGTGAATGCAATCCCCAGAGTTAAGTGACCACACTTTGACAGATTCTTGACTCACAGATGCCAAGTATTCTCCATTTACATCCCAACATACACAGTGCACATCTGCAGAGTGTCCCTAGAAATACATCAAATTATAACTATTATTAGGTATTATAATAAAAAATGGGGCAGAAGAATTTTATCATTTCTGTAGATTTCTTGAAATTTGGTGTCCTTGTTTATACCTGTAATGTGTGCATCTGCCTCTCTGTCTCAACATCAAAGAGAGACACAACACTGCCACTTGCTGCCGCCAGTAGGTGGCCACTCCTTGGTTGAAACCTCACCTGTGTAGATCCTCCCTGCTCAATTAACTTAACGAGTTTCAGAAGAGAGAATAAAACAAATTTTTAACATATTGAAAGCTAAAACAAGTAAATTTCATAAATGACCTTAAAAGCACGAGTGCAAGAATATTGACCGATATTCCATAAGCGAATCTCATTGTTATCATCACAAGAACAGAATAGGTCGTTTTTCTTTGGATGGAAATCAAGGGACACCACATGTGAAGTATGACCACTATATGTCTGTAAAGAAAAGCTTGGCTGCAACAGTAATAGTCAAAGGTAAGTCTCAGTAGCATGTAAACCAACACTTCAAATAGATACTAGTGTCTCCGAATGCAAGAACTATAAGATTTAACACCAAATTTAACCTTCAAGTTCACCTTCCAACAATGCGTGTGTGTAGAAAGATTACATATCCCCTTCAAAAAGAATTTATCCATGGGGATAAAAAGGGAAAACTTCTAAAGAACTCCCTAACATTCAACAAGAACAATAACCAAATCTTATCACAATAAGTGTTAATTTCTATTTTTAACTTGGGAGTACAAACTTCAATCTTTGGGAAATGAGATCAACAATCTAATAGCCAAAAAGGGGTTCAAACATTCTGTTAAGAAACTTGAGCCCCCAAAAGCTAACTCATAGGAAGACTACCCTAGCCTTGTAAGGAGTATTTTGCCTTTATTCCTAATCAATGTTAACACATTCAAAACATATCTTTAACCAATATGGTACCTAAAAACAAATAAGCAAATATTGTTTTTAATAAGATTCAATACCTATGGAAGTATAACTTATTTAAAATTTGGCATTTGTGATCATCAAAAATCAAGATAATATCACATTATTCAAAAATTAAATTCTCATTTTATAAAAAATCATTCAGTGAAGTAATAAAAACATATGTTTGTCCCTAGAGTAAGCAGATTTCATCAGTTTACCAAATTACTATATTTACACAATACACTGAATCTAGACATAACGATATAGATTTCTAGCAGTAACCGAAGTTATATTTTCTATTGGGAGGACATTGCATTTAGTAGAAACTTAGAAAGCAGATCTTAAATTCATATCCAGGATAGACAAGGAAAGGTTTGCATTAACAGTAAGAGAAGAATAACCAGTTAAAAGGAATTTACATCTGCAGCATCCCACAGCCGCACAGTAGTATCAAATGAAGATGTTGCCAGCTGAGTTGAATTTGGTCTGAAGCGAACGTCAGTAATAATAAGATTGTGCTCCTCTGGAGTGCTTTCTGTTTGCAGCGTCTCCATGTTCCACAGAACAACCTAATAATAAGGGAAAGACAAAAAAAGGTAATTTCTAATAAGATGCTTATTTTAGGCTATCTTCAGATAAATCAGCCAGTTTACCATTTTAGTATAAAAGTTAAAAAATATTTCTCCAAAATAAATTAAACTTAGCACACATTAATTGTATTAATAATAGGTATTTAGAAATGAACAGTCTCTTGACCAAGCATTTGACCCAATTATTGACGTTGCTGCTCAAAGTTCTGCAATGTAGTCAATATGAAACTGTACCAACCCTCAATCTGCTAATTACTGTTCTACATTGAAAACGATTATTAGCTATTACCCCTTCCAAAAATTTAGAAGGTTGACCAGTTTTCCAATCAAACTGGATTGGTTAGGTTAGGTTAGGTTAGGGTTTGAATACACTGGCTTTAATGGTAAATATATGCCTTGAGATTTGAGAATAGTACCAAAAATTTGTGGTAAACCAATCAGTAAGCAGTGTAAGTACAGAATTAACTAAGACCTATTTCTTTATAACTGTCAGAAAGAACATGAATTCATAAAACCTCTTGTACTGCACAACAGGCAATGTGTCAAACACAGGTACTATCCTATGAAGGCATGCATTTTAAACTCAAGTTTTTCTATAAAGATTTACATCATAATCTCTAAAACCAATTTACAATTACAAGGTCATTATTTTGGTAGAGAATGACTTTAGTTAAAGAAAATTATTGGATATAGATTTACTTATTTATGATGAACATTCTATCAATCCGGTCAAATGGCCCAGGATCTTTATCTGAATAAATTATTAATCCAGCCCATGGTATAATAAGTTCATCAAATCAATTGTGTATATTATTTCCTTGCAGTTTTTCTTTACAAGATCTTGCTCACTTTGGATTAAATCTGGAGAACCCACAGAAGCAAAAGACTGCAAAATGCCAGCGTAGATATATCTTTTCTCATTAAATACAGCATCTTAGTAAGGGCCAAATATTTTTATTATATAGAAACCTGTGCAGAAGTTAAGGAAAAACAAAAAAATGTTTTTCAATGTTTTTCAACATAAAGGCTAATTCTTGAAACTCAAAAGTAGTAATAGTCCACTGATTGATGCTCAGAGTTAAGTGTTAGGAATAAATGCAGACCCAAAGTTATCATTTACTCCATTCCAGTTATAATAATAAAGTATTATTTTCTTTCTTTATCTTATATACACTGTTTTGATATAATAATTTATTTGATAAAGGTCCTAGATTAAAATTAAAAACTTGTTATCATAATAGAGATTATGAAAATAAGAAACATGTGATTATAGGATTATTATAAATAAGACATTAATAATCAAGATAGATCAATATATATGTGATAGTACTCATTGAATGAATATTAATAAATCTCATTTATTAATTATTAATTTACATATATAGATTACATACATATGAATGTGGTTATTGAGAATTTTTTTTGTTAATATTACCTTATATTGTCAATAAAAAATTCTATGAAAAAAATATAAAATATTCTTTGACCTGAAATTATCATATTAATCATCGAGTCATTTGTTGTATTTTAATTCTGGACACTTATTGCTTTAGCACACTAGCTCAATAGATATTGGATATAATTAAACACTTGTAGAATTAATGATAATTCAAGAAAGAATCCATCAATTCTAGGTACTAGGTAATGAGTTTGAACTCTATTAAAATTAAGACCTTGGCTAGGATAATTAAATGAAAGAAGAAAAGACAAATTATATCATACTCTAGAGTTAATTAAAAGCTGTAAGGATAGAAAGAAACATTATATTATTTTCTAATGGTTCTTGAAAGTAAAATATATTACTTTTGCTATCGACATTGAGGAGTGTTGCTGGATGCTAACCTTGATTAGTAAATTAATTATTACTAATTTATCACCAACTTAGTATTGAACCTACGGAGTCAAACACTAACGAGTGTTTTAATCTTTGTAGAAGAAGAATTATATTGTTTAATAATTAAGATTGTAGAATTTATTTATTTATTATCACAAACAAGGAAAAGTTATTCGCTCACACTCTGTTGGTTGCCATATAATGTTACTTTCTCTAAAGTAAGAAAAGATAGAAGTTGGTGAGCAAATTGCTGCTAAGCCTCATGCACTACACACACTAAAACCATGAACCCTCCTGACCTTATACCCTAAAAGATTTATCCACCCTTCTCCATGATTGACATAGAGAGTACTTACATAGAATCACCTAAATATAGTGTCGATTCTATTTACATGCTGGAAGGAGATTGGAAGGGGTTTGGGGTTGAGAGGATGGAAGTGGGGGTGGGGAAAGGATGCTAGAAGGGGATGGAGAGGTGGATGGGAAGGGTTTAGGGTTGAGGGAATGTGATTGGGGGAGGGGGAGGGGGAAGGGGATGGAGAGGGGTTTGGAGTTGAGAGAATATGGTTGTGGGAGTGGGAGGTGAAGGAGGGTACCGGAAGGGGACAGGGGAGGGGTAAGAGAAGGAGAGAGAAAGGGTGTGAAAAGAAAAGGAGTGTAGAAGAAGAAATGAATGGGGAAGAAAAAGAGTTTATTAGTAAATATATAAAATTATTCAGGGGCTTATTTGCAAATTTTAATTTTAAAAAATGATGTGACATATCACGTAGGCTGTGACTGGGCCTCAAGATAGCCACGTGGAATGCTGAGGTGACTCTCCTTTAGCCAGCTCAGCACTTAACAGAAGGAGGATTAATGGCAGAGACCAATTCTAAAATTACCAACTTTAGAAGGACCACTTCCTAACAAAAATATTTGTAGGGACTAATCACAAAAATACCTATATTTATAGAGACCAAAAACATATTTAAGCCTTTTTTTTAATTAATTATAAGGAACGATTCATCGAGACTTATAATTAGTTATAATATGAGATATTTTTTTAAAATTTTATACTGAATGCCTAAACTATCTGGGGAATATTAAATTTAATTAATAGATGCCAATAGGAATGATCTGACAACCAAGAACTTATGTGGTATAATATAAGCGTATGTAATATAGCTTTTTTTCTTAAAATATGTAAGAAATGACTTGATAACCATGTAGCTCGTTTATGGTTTTAAGATTTTGTTATATGAAAATATGTTCTGACATAATTTTGTTTTACTACATGCTTGATCAACATGTCTTCCCTATCACTTCGTGGCATACTAGAGTCTAGAAAATTGGTTGGAGCCAATTATGATGATTGGTATTGTAACTTGAGAATCATTCTCATGCACGAGAAACTTATTGACGTCATTGATAAGCCTACTTAGGAAGCACCTGACCCAAATGATGCTGAGGCAACCAATACTTTTCAGAAGTATTTGGAGCAGTCTCTCAATGTCAAATGTACTATTTTGGCATCAATGAGCTCAGAACTCAAGACCACAATGAGGATATGGATCCACAACAAATCATTACACATCTTAAGACGATGCTCAAGTTGGATCACACGTTCTTAATATGATTGATCTGATTGAGCAAATTGAAAAGTCAAAATGCAAACTTGGGAAAGAGCTTTCTCAAGACTTAATTTTGATGATTTTGCACCGTTCATTGTAAACTTTAACATGAACAAAATGAACTGTGATTTGCATAAGATGCTGAATTTGCTGATTGATTACAAGAATCAGATCACTCTTGAAAAGTAAAAGGAAATTGTCTTGGTGGTTGGCAAAAATCCCAAGAAGAAAGGGAAAGGAAAACATATCCCTAAAAGGAAGCCTTTTGGACCTAAGGGTGGTGTGACCAAACCCAAGCATGATAAGGTTCAAGTTGACCAAAGTGATGCTGAGTGTTTCTACTATAAGGAAAAAGGTCATTGGAAGAGAAACTGCAAGAAGTACCTTGATTCTTTGAAAGACAAGAAACAAGGTGAGACATTAATTAAAAATGTTTTCATGATATCTTTAACTGTTACTGATTCTTCAATATGGGTATTAGATATAGGCAGTAGCTTTAACATTTGAAATACGTTACAGGGAATGTAGATAAGTAAATGGTTGAAGAAAGGAGAAATCAATTAGCATTGAAGCAACTCAATTAGCAACTAAGAGACCTTTCTTTGATATTGAGCTTGATGAAACTCAATTAGCATTGAAGCAACTCAAGAACATGTGATGGAAACTAAGAGACCTTTCTTTGATATTCTAAAGTTAACACAAAGGTCATCACCTCCAACAATTGTGATTCAAGAACCAGTTGTGGGTCAAGAACAGCTTAATGAACCGATCTTAGAACCAATTCAACAACATGTGAACCAAATGCAAGAGCCTTCTCAAACTCGTGATACAGTGACATGTGTTCTGGTTTCTTGATATTTTGACAGTAATTGCATTAGATATATATCATCGATGACCCTTTACCCATTAGGTTATGCTTTCAGGAGAATTGGCTATTGACATTCAGAGTAAATGGGATCAAACAAAGGAAAAACATGTAGATACTTAGGTTTTTCCTCTTTAGTTTACAGCTTAACAGAAGGGTTTTATATTTCTTAATTAGTTAATGCTGATTCTAGTCCCAGGAGTTGTATGCTGACAAAAAGGGAAAAATCTCCAATAGAAAGGGACAACGTGAATGTTAAGACATGGTATATATATTGTATAAGATTTCTCAGCAGCTACAACCTAATCATATTAAATATATAAGCCTTGTATCAAGGCAAAACATAAAATTGAAAAATAATAAAAGGATAAGAATGACACCTAAAAGGAGCAGCCAGTTATCATATCAATATGGAATCACTAACTACAGCTGATGCAAGTTTAATGAAATTGTTAAGAAACTTGAGCTTAACTCACTCCCAAAAGCTAACTCATAGGAGGAGGAATACCCTAATCCTTATAAGGAGTATTTTGGCTTTATTCCTAACCAATGTGGGACATCTTAACAGAAATGAAGCAAACAATTTTAAATAAGTAATTAATCTACTTAAGTTTTAAATTTAATAAGGAAAAAAGGAAGATTTTTAGTTTACAATCCACCGGCAGATGTACAAATTGTTCTGCTAGTGTCTACTAAGTATTATGAAACTCAGCATTCTGGCTTAAAACAGTGAAGTAAAACAATTAAATCCTTTCTACCTTCTTGTCATGTCCAGCACTAGCTAATATTTTCCCATCTGAAGAGAAATGACAGCAAACAACTTTACTGTTGCTTTTGCGAATGGAACCAACTTCATTAAAGGAAAAGCCTGAAATAGAAGCAATAGAGCAAACAATCCGGTCAATGTGAACGGTAAAAGTTTATAGAATCATAAGAACATGTGACAGTACCTTTTGAAGCATCAGTAGCATGCTCCCGTTTCAATGTGCCAAACAAGTCCCTTCCATCACCGTCATCTTGTGAGAGAAATGATTCCACATTATCATCTAAGGAGCCAACATCTGCAAAATGCTCCATGTCGTCCTGCAACTAAAAGGATATAAATAATCAATAACTAATTAGCATCTGTAACCTAAAACATGAAAGATTCAGCAGATGATATATTGTGGTTAAACAACAAAATATTTATGCAGGGCAGGAGTTTTTATGTTTTTAATCCATTGTCAAATCAACAATATTGCATACACATTACCAAAATTAGCAATATATTTATTACAATTCACATCCTGAGAATGAATGGTAGCAACTTCAGCATGCACAACACTATGTTGGTTCAAAATTGACCGTACAGGAATCATAAAAGTGATTAAAAAGCATTAATATTATATAATTCAATTTACCAAGAGAAAATATTCTGAGGAACAAATCATCATCCAAAAACGATACAAAATGTATAGCCTCATAAGGGTACTTCAATATAAAAGGCAGTACTATATTCTTTCTTTACACCAAATGTTTTATTTGGAAGCAACATAAGCAGGCAACGTAGATTACATGACCCTCAGGTAATACATGTTACAAAAATTTTCAAGTTGATTTACCAGCTGATTTGTGGAGGATGCAAGACCACCTGCTCCATCAGCACCATACATGATTAAACCTTTGGATACACCAGCAACATTCTGCAAGTTACCCGGCATAGCAACTCCATCACCAGGAGTATGAGTAGATGGAGTTGATGGTTGAGAATTAGAAGGGCCTAGTGTATTTCCTGTTCCAGTACTGTTGGCAGCTCCTGAAGAAGTAGGCCCTTTCCTTTTCCGGTTATTCTAAAACATAATTGGGAAACAGTCATAACATGCAAGCATACAAATAAGCCTGCTAGATTACAAAATTTTGGCAATGAAAAGGTAGAAGTATCTAAAACAGATGTCATCTCAAATAAACATAAAAGTGAAACCTGCACCAGTTGCTGTGGATGCAAAGGATCCTGTTGTTGCTGGGAGGTAGACTGTTGGACCTGTGGCATGTTGATCTGTACAAAATATAAATAACACAAAATAACCATATTAGCAAAGAGAAAAAATGATTTGTCTGTTATAAACCCAAAAAATATTCTTCTGTCAAAATTTTATCAAACAAAATATATGTAATAATAAGCTAAAATATTGTAAATATGGGTTCAGCGAAAAGAAAATTCTCTAACTTTTAACCAGGCAATAGCACACCAGAAAGACTAATTCCAGTTCATTTTGAAATGTGTCAATTCAAGTAGTTAGGACAACTAACTTCCAAATGTTTCAATCGAATCAGTGCAAAGCCACATTGTATTTGGTAAAAAAATGTGGCTTGGCACAGAATTGATTGAAACATGGGATTAGTTAGTGTGACAATCCAGTACATAACCAACTATTGTAGAAAACAGTGTTTTTCCCTTAAAAACATGATTAGTGGGATATCTTACCAATATATATTAATTTCCAGACAAAAAAATAGATAATTGACTATTGTAGAAAATTATGTTTAGTTATTTTAAGAAATATTCCATGACAGACCTTGTTGAAAAAATAAAGTACTAGAGTGAAGTCTAAATAAATAAAAATAACAAAAAATATTCAGGTGAGGTATATAACACGTGATTTTATGATAATAAATTTTATTTAATACTAACAAATAATTAAATTATTAACTATTATAATATTATGCTATATAAAAAAAATATTTAATACGTACAGGTGACATTCATAAGTAATGCTATGACTTGCTTTGTTTTGTTTTTATACAGGTAATAAGTGTACAATTTCATTAATTTATAATTCTGAAATTTAAGTTCCTTAGATTAACATTGAAATAGATTAGATGAACCTGCATTATCAGTTATTTGAGTTTGTGTATCAAAATCTAGATTGGTTAAATAAGTTTGCAATAGATAACTAGATAAGTATATTTCATAATCTTTTCATGTTGTCAATAAATTCCTAGTAGCATGACAGATTTTAAGCAGTGATTTCCAGTAATTAATTATGCATCAATTATATATGTATAATGTTAAGCAAGAATATTATAATATTAATCAGTCCATAAGAGTGGGCTAATCATCCCATGGAGTGAGTTGGCCCACATAAAATAGGCCAAGTTACTGAATTTATTTAAGGCCCATGGATTGCCCTAGCCATTAGGGCTTTTTATCCCTATGGGCTTCACTTTAATATGTGCTTTTTGGCCCTATGGGTTATTTTGGCTGTGACCAATATGGGCTAGGGCTCTGAATAGGGTGTGTTAGGCCAATTTGACAGGTCTAGTGGCAGCATCCCATGGAAGAGGAAGTGTTGGCTTTAGAACATCACTAGACATGCAATCTTGTCCCTCTTCCGGTTGGAAAACATGTCACTGACTGTAAGTGGATGCATACGGTGAAAGTCAACCCAGATGAAATGACTGCTTGTCTCAAGGCTCAACTGGTTGCCAAAGGTTATGAATTTTTCAGTACATGAAGGACTCATTTGGTGCACAAATGAACAGGATAACCAAACAGAATAGGATAACTGTTCCTGTCATATCTTATTTCCGACATTTGTTTAACCAATAGGATAGGATAACTCTATTCTATGGACTAATCCTTTTCTCTGGTGTATCTTTTATCCAGTGGGAGTTTGGGTTAGAAATAGACATGCTAAGATAACATAATGTATCTAATTAGTTATTAAAAAGAAACTTTTATTCTTATGGAAAAGTACTCTAATCTAATAAATTGAGGTTGATAGTGGTTCATATGAAGACAACCTATAAATCATCCATAAACACAACAACACATTTCCATGCTTAAGACAGCATTACCATAGAGTAAAAGCATTGTTTTAAATCATGTACAGCTCTAGCTTTACACATTCATGCAAAATGAAGCTGTGAGGACAGAATAAAGGTTACCTTAGATGAAGTAGATTGCATTGGAGAGCCTATTGATCCATCATTTGCAATGGATTGACCATCTTTGGCATTCAAACTTCCCCTAGCTAATCCCCTTAATCTCTGCGGATCCATATCTCCATAAACTGGTGAATTGCCAATATTTCCTTGTGCCTGTACCTGTGCAAGGATCTGCTGTTGTTGTTGTTGTGGTAAAAGCTGAAACTGATTTGAACTTTGGAGGAGAGGCTTTTGAACTTGTGCACCAAACCCGGGACGAATTTGATCTATGCCCTACATAATATTACAATTTATTTAAATTGGATCAGATATATTCCTAGATATCTGAAAAGTGAACTCAAGGCTCATATCAGAACTTACAGTTAAAGGCCATCCTTTCAATGTGAGACCACCAACTCCTGGATTTAATCCTGAAAAAGGAGAAAAAGGGGAATATTGAAATCAAGCAATATGATTAGCCAAATAAAATATGTATTAATTATGTGATTCTTATAAAATGTTATATGAGAAAATGATCTTGAAGAACTTTATGTCAAACAAACACTGCAGAAACCCAAACAGTCAAAAGCAGTATATATCTAATGAACTAAACTAAAATTTTTTGTTGCCTGTTTCCAATGGGGATAATCCACATTTATTTTAAATCTATCTCATCTCTAAAATGCATTTCTCCTGTACCGATGCAAACCTGCATTTGTAATTCCAGGCTTTGACTGCATTCCTCCCTGCCCATAAATTGAAGGATCCATAGGCAAGGATCTCTGGATGGTACCCATGTTGACATCACCTTTGATATCCTGCTGAGGAGGAAAAAATTAGAAATCAGAATCTTTAACTGTATGGAGAAGAAAGGAAAGAAGGAAGGAAGTGAATCCAGATAAAGATCATCAGTACAAGCACATACAGGGGTTTGCTGAGTTCTAGCCTGGATTTGCTGCAAAGCCGCTGTCACACTTCCTGAATTTCCTTGAACCATCTGACTGTTTGGGCAAAAGGCATAGAATTTGTAAACAAGTACAAGAATAATATATGTCAAGTTAAATAAAAGTTACCAATGGTATTACCCAGGATGATTTGTTGATTTCAAGAGGGCCATTCTAGCATCTAAAAGTGGTTGGGATGTCTCCGTATCCATGGGGTTAGAGTGCTTCATTCGCTCCTCATACATTTTTGCAGCCAAAGCACTGGCAGTAGATTGCCCAAGCATTCCTTCTGTAGTGATAGCATTTGCAGGACCTCCAATGGGAGGATGGTTAGAATCTCTTCTTTGCAGCTGAGCTTGGCGCATTAATTGAAACTGCTGCATTTGTAGTTGTTGTTGTTCCTTTGCTTTAATCTGTTGAGCCTGCAAGTCATCAAAAAAGAGAAGACAATTACTCTAATTGTTTATAAATATTATCAATAAACTACCATTTAGGTGAATGTTCATGAATGGTTTTATATCTAACACCATCAAAACCAAAGTAAGAGAAGAGACGTACCTCTAAATATGCTGCAGCTGTCTCAGAATGTTTCTCATTTGTCCTTGCAATAAATATATCCCAGAAAACAGACCACCACTCAAAAAGAAAACCGCCAGGAGCATCAATTGCTGCAATTTCAGAGTGTTACCCATAATCAATTGGGATAAAAGTACCCTAAAGAAATCTACCAAGAGATGTACACAAACATTGTACGCAACCATCAGCATTAACGTATTCCAAAAATGTAATAAGTAAAGGCGGACACAGACTAATCATTTAACAAAACAATTCAATAAGGGAAAACTAATTAAGAGCATTAAATTACAACATAAATCATCTCTCACCTACTGGATCCGGAGAAACCTTTCCTTCTGACATGAATGCCTTAGCAGTATTATGCAACTTTTTCTTCACCAAATAATCATAAATATAAACATCAAGCCTAGCAGCAAAAGAGAAAACACCACATATAAATAGTGGAAACTCAAAGATAACAACAATAACCACTAAATAAGATTGGGAACATGGATCAATCAGCTCCATTGGCTCTATCAAACATAAACAACTTCACTTACATTTTATCTGCTTCCCAATTACTCTGCGCCATGATTTCCCGGTCCGAAGCGAAATTATCTGTAGCAAGGCACGAAATTGGCAGGAAATCGAACAAACAAATTCAACAACGTCTCAAAACAAAAAATAAAATAAAACAAAACAAAATAAAATGAATCACAAAAAATCGAAGAATAGCAGAATCCACGTGAATCGCGAGAAACCAACCTCAAAACGCAACAAGTTGATGGATCAAACTCGTACATTACCAATCCGAGCCTGCATGCACCAACGGTCACCACCGACGAAGAATCGCTCTCAATTTCGGAAATCACAAAGCGTGAACAGTCGAGTCTAATTCAGGAATACAGGACCATTCAAAGAAATTGCGTGAATTTCGTACCTGCCGCTACTGAATCACAGAGAGAAAGACCGAAAGCGAAGAGAAAAGAAAAGGACTTAGGGTTCGGAACGCAGTGAGAGTAAGGACTAGTTGAGTTTGAACTTTGAACTGGTTCAACAAGCTTTTTTCAACAGTGAGTTAAGGTGCAAGATGATAGAGTTTGAACGAATGGAGTTCCGAAGCTGAGGCTCGTTGACACACCTGAATCTGAGGCGTAGGTTCGGGCATAGGTTCGGGCGTAGGGAGGTTCCGTATTGGATAACTGGATTCGCTAACATACAGCCTAGAAAATCTGGATCGGAGAACTTTTGGATTCTGCCTGTCTACCGTTGATAACGACGACAGACACGTGTACGGCTGATGTGAAACAGGGATCCAATATCCACGAGATACGCTACGTCGATCTTTGTTAGTGTATGTAATTTGTGATATAATAATGGTTAATACTTAATAGTTAGAATTATCTTAATGCAAAAGTCACGGAATCTGTTTTTATTTAACCACGATTTCTGTCCAGTAAATATCATTTTTAAATTTTAATGCTTTAATAATATTTGTTTGTACAAATTTTTCCGCTGTATTTTATACCAAATAGCAACTCTATCTGTAATTTTTAATATTTAAAAAGATATTTTATCTTTTTTTAAATTAATAGTTGTAATTCTTTTAATATTTTAAAAAATTAAAAAATATTAATAATTTTTAACTAAATCATTAAATTTATTATATATTAATATAAAATTAACGATAATAATAATTATTTTATGTACGAGGGAATATTAAATATTTTCTATTAGAGATAATATCAAACCCTCTTAATTATAAAAATATTATAAATTTTATCGTAAAAAATATTTATACTCTTATAAATGAATAAATATCAAATTTGTGCAGCTGAGGATGGAGTATTAAAAGTCACAGCTTGCTCCAAGTTCTAAACTATTAACAAACTATAATTGTTTAACTATGATAGCTTGTTTATTTTATATGTTTCAAATAACTTCTATTAACGCACTATTTTACTATTAAATATACAAAAGTAAAATAAATATAAAAAAATAAATTGTAAACCACTTTGCGGGTGCAACTCCACGATGTTAATGTCAGCAAACCTTAATTAAAAAAATGAAATTATAATATTGATTACCTCATATTCAAGTAATTTAAAAAAATTAATGTATTAAAATTAAAGAAAAAAAAAGTAAACAAATAACTCCACAATTTTACACCTTTTTAATTCACATTGAATTAACATAGTAAAAGTACATAATATCAAAACTAATAAATAGATATCAAAACTTAAATACAATTATTGAAAAAATAAAGAAAAAAATTATTTCAAGAATACTTTCATGAAAATAAAAAAAAACTTCCATTTTTTCATATAAATTCACACATTAAGTAAATTATTTGAAAAAATAAAATAACATGAGAATAAGAAAAAAAAATTAATGTTTCTAAATGATACAATGAAAAAAATGGTGGAAAATACAAAAATAATTGAAATTAAATATATTTTAAAAATATTTTCTAAAATTCATATAAGAAATAAATGACTTTTTTACATAAATAAAATATTTTGAATATAAAATTACGTATGTGTTTTAGAAAATTTTTTTACATAAATGTCCTAAACCTGATACAGTAAAGTCGATTGAAAATGACTTTTTCAATAGAACTCTATTGTAGAAGTCGATTGAAGGCGACTCCCGTTTTTGACCTTCTTACTTCAAAGAAGTCAATTAAAGTTGACTTTTCTGCTACAAAGAAGTCAATTGCAGTCAACTTTTGTACTCTGAAAAAGTTGATTAAAGTCGACTTTCATTTGTTCACATTGCAGCGGAAAAAGATGGATAACGTTTTATATTAGCTTAATTTTGTTGATCATATTGCAAGCAAGCTTAACACACTGGTAAATTAATTTTTAAATATATTTATTTAAATTATAATTACTTATTTTTGTATTTAATTTAATGTATTATTAATTGTGTGTTATAATTATAATTATTATATTAATGAATGTAAATTAAAATTCTATTATATATTTTTAATTATTATGATAAATTAGTTTTGTATTATAGTAATTTATAAATTATAATAATTTTATATATATTATTTTGTTATTGTACAGGAATCTCGAATGGAACCATTTTGTTATTATGATAAATTAGTTTTATATTATAGTAATTCAAGAATGGAACCATTTCTTAGGGAAACTAGTTTTTGGCATTTTGTACATATAGTCCCAGTATTTGATTATGATAGGACATTCATAAGTGCACTTGTAGAACGTTAGAGACCTAAGTCACACACATTTCATCTCCCATATGGAGAATATACGATCACTTTAGATAATATTATGTTTCAGCTAGGCTTTCGTGTGAATGGGGTCTCTATAAGTAGTTGCATTGGAGTATGAAAGAAATTTTATGATCAAAATATATGGATATTATGTGAAAATTTACTAGGAGTAGTTCCTAATGAGAGAAACATAAGAAGATTTTTCGTAAATCTACAGTGATTCACATATACATTTAGAGCATTACCTTACAATGCTGATGGACAGACTATTATCTATTACACTAAAATGTACATAATAGTTCTATTTGGTGAGATATTGTTTTAAGATAAATCAGGATTTAGGGTTCATGTAAAATGATTACTTCTTTTAACTGATTTTACTGAGATTTCAAACTATAGTTGGGGTTCTTCTATTATAGCATTCCTTTATCGTGAGCTTTGTCATGTCGTGAAATACAATGCTACCAAAATTGCAATATATTTGTCTTTTCTACAGTCTTAGGCATGGTATAGAATACCTCAATTAATTTTTAATTTTTTTAAAATATAATATAAATTTCTGCTATATTTATAAAAAAAAAAAAAAACTCTTTTTAAAAGAGAAATCAAACATACCCTTAAACTAAAGTAATTTGTTTTCTTCATATGAAAGTGATTTACTTCATATTTCAAGTCCATGCATTTCAAACTATAAAATGCTATAAATATTTAAATGCATGTTTAATAGATGTGTTTTTACTACTATAAATTAAAACTTTATAGTTATCCATTTAAATAATAACTAATATAAATTTCTTTATTATAAGCAGTGTAATTCAACGTTAAAAAATAATATGTAAAGTTAATATTTTTAAATCTATATTTATTTTTATACGTGCTACCAAAGTGTGTCCTTAATTGTACATCAATTATTAGCTTAATTTTTCTTTGTATTGTACAAGATGTTGTCATATTTTTCTTATATATTTACAAAATCCTTGTTAACTTAATAGTCCAAGTTAAAAAAAAAATATTTATAGAAGTTATTAACAATAATAGTAAATTTAATAAAATTGACTACAATTCAAAATAGGTATCTAGGTATTTATCCCTAAACATACTACCAAATCACAACTTTTTATCATTGAAACATTTAGTAAACCATACAAATTAAAAACAAATTGTGTATAAAAGTAAAAAAAATAAGAAATAAAAATCCAATGATTTGAACCAAATTGAAATATATTACCAATAGAAGTCAAAATATAAAATTTAGTCCTTTACATAATATTGTGAATACAATATACAATCATACATTAAAAAAAAAAAAAAGGCTTTTATACTTATTTTAAGCCTTCAATGTAAATAATGAGACTATCGTATCAAATTTCAACTACTTTTATCTCTTGATCAAATTGATTCTTTACAAAAGAATTTTAGTGATAATAGCAAAAAAGTAGAAAATTTAAAAAATAAAAGAAAAATAATTTAATCATTGTATAAAAGAGTTACATTCATTTATCACTATTTTAATATTGTCAATCATGCACAACATGAAACACTTGAAATGTAACAATAGCATAATTGCAATTCCCTTAATAACGTTTAACCTAACCTAAGGCAATGTAAAAATCAAAGAATATAATGATTAATAGGAAGAATATTTGAAAGAGATAAAACGTGTTCCTTAATTTGTACTTCTATAAAAAAAATCAATGCACGTTATGCTTAAACAGAGATATAAAAACAATATTTTAATATAAAAATAAGGAAAAAATGGTTTCAAGAATTTATATATATAAACAGAGATAACCATTCATTTTGCCATTAAGGAGATGAGAAGCCATAAATTTTTTATTGAAAAAAAAATTGTTTTACATTCAAAACAGATTTGAAGTTTATAATGAAAATCTAGTTTTATAATATTAAATACTAAATAATAAGATTTAGTGTCTACTCCACAAATTTGATAGAATTACAAATTTACCCTTTTACTCAGTTGCATATATAAAGATGAAGATTAAAATAAAGTAGATATAAAAAAGGTTGAATATAACTTTTGTTCACCAAATTAATAAATGTTTAACAATATAGACTATCTTAACTTTTTATCCTAATAGACTACAACATAAAAACTTATATTTATCTTGTGAGAAAGTATTTATAATTTACTCAACATTGAAAGAAATTAAAATTAATTAAGATTAGTTATTTTTTTATTTTATAAATAAATTTCATCATATAAAAATCAATATATCATTATTAGAAAAATATATTTTCTACCTCTTTCTACAAATAGTTGCCACAAACAAGTGGTGAATCTTGATCATAACAAAATTATTATAATTTATTTTCTATATTTTATTATTCATTTCTTACCACCAACCATTATCATTCCTTTCTTACCATAATAAGTAAATTATCATTTAACATTTAAGTAATAAATTAAAAGAGAATCTCATTTAAACATTTAGTCAAGCACTTATAGTATATCATTACTACAACTTTATTTTAGCAATACACTAATGATAAATCCAAATTCTAAATGGATTTATTGAGTCAATCATGCAAAAATTGATAACGAAAGGAATAAAATGCATAAAAATAATGATAAATTAATTTATGCTACATAAATGATTTAAAGGAGAGGAAATTTACTTAATTATAATTTCTTTACTAGAATTTATAAATTTTGATGCATTCACATATACAAATCTCATAAGAAATATAGATAATAATCAAGTAACAATTGATAGAATTTTGTATAGTGCGAAGAAAATTTAATTAACATTAAGACTTAATAATGGGGCAAAGGGATAATGTTGAGAAATGCTATTTTGCTAGCAAAACTCTCTCTACCATACCTTTTTTTAACACACTCTTATTTATTGGCTAAATTTTATTAAAAATTACACAAGTATAAAAGAGAAACATTAAATTAGGAGTGAAAAAAAAAAGTGAGATTCACTGATGAATTCACTTTTTATTATATTTTTACTTGCCTTTTTGATGCTCCTTAATAGAAAAAATGGACTTAGATAGTGCAAATAATATAAAAATCACATTTTGAGTAAATATCATAGGTTTATTAATTTTTGGTTAATTTGCATTTAATTACATAGATATAGATTGCAATTTTAATTATCTTGATAATTTTATAGAGTGCCTAAGTTAAATTTGAGAAATCTTGGTCCTTGGATGAAAGTTGCCCCCAAAGTAGCCACTTTTAGGAGTAAAAGTGGCAACTACAGCAAGTCTGGGCATTAAAAGTTCCAAAGTAGCCACTTTCAAGACCAAAAGTGGCAACTCCAGAAGCTCTAGGGACGCTAAATTGGAAGCATGATGCGCGTGGCCAGTATTGCCTTTCAAAGTGGCTACGCGCATCCAAAGTAGCCACTTTCAAGACCAAAAGTGGCAACTCCAGAAGCTCAAGGAACGCCAATTTTGAAGCATGATGCGCGTGGCCACTATTGCCTTTCAAAGTGGCTACGTGCATCCAAAGTTCCCACTTTCAAGACCAATAGTGGCAACTCTCGAGAATTGACAATTTTACGAGAATTGCGCGTGGACACTTTCAAGGCCCAAAGTGGACACTTTCAAAGGCAAAAGTGGACACTTTGGTGACATGTCATCCACTATAAATAGATTTTAAGAATTAGGGTACGAGACTTTTACACTTTACACAATTTTCCTTTGCCAAATTGAGACATTTTTCCAGAACATTGGAGTCTTGGGTGACAGCCAAGGGTCCTCTATAGGTTTTAATTTCCAATTTTCCTTTTGATTTTGGTTGAATTTACATTAATGTTACTTACGTTTCTTGCATTTCTTTCATTCATTTGTGAAGCCCATCCATATGGAGGGCTAAACTTCCTTGTAATTCCTAGTCAATGCACATGAATCTTGAATTCTTGGGATTAATTGCAATACAAATCTTTCTTTCCTTGAATTTATTAACCCCAATCTTTGAATGAAATGGAATCTGCATGAAGGGAACATTGCTTAATGAACCCTAAATTACCCAACGAAATTCTAATTCAAAATTGCTTAATTTTGATTAATCCTTGAGGTTGCTTAATCTTAGGGATAGAGATTAGAGCCCATTAAGATGTTTAATTTTAATTGGGATGTTAAAGTTGATTTTCGCTTGTTAGATTAACTTAATTCAAGGGAAAGAATGGGGAATATTGAATCATTTGAAAGAATAATGATGGAACTCATTGATTGACTAGGAATTACTCATTTTAATTGATTGAATTTCACTAGTTTACACTTTGCTCTTGATTAAAATTTGGAAATTGACAAACTTCCCCCCAATTTACTTGCTTTAAAATATATGTTCACACTTGTTTGATGTATGTTCCCAACCAAAAATTCCTTGGAGACGACCTAGGACAACACCCTAGTACTGTATTTATTTCTTTACATATTTGATGAAAATTAACAACAATCTTTTACATGACGAGTAGCTAAATTCGTTTCATCACTCACATGATATTTGTAATTTTTATTAACTTTTAGTCAATAATTAGGAGTGTATTAAAAAGAGTGTATTAGAAAATGTGTCATTAGCATTTCTCTTATTTCATGCAAACTTTGGAGGTCTCAAAGGAATGGCTAAGGTACCTTAATAATTTTTAATCATACATAGAAAGATTATGGTTTTAACATAATTGAAAGTGAAGGTTTAGATTGACATCAGTTCCAACACATGCATGTGAGATCAATCTATTTAGAAAGAATAAGTGTGTTTGAACCTTACTATATGCAAAATTTACTTAAGTCCAACACTCCCTAATTCAGAATAAAAATTAGGCTTAAGCTTCTTAAACTTAAAAACAATTTGTTATTTCTAACTTCAGACAAAAAAAATTTCTTGTATATAAAACTTAAGATCAATAAAAAATTTAATATTAGTCTAAGTAGCTCAAATTGCTCTCCTGCTTTGAAAAAATATAAATAATATTTTATAAAAATAATACTTGAATAAACTACTTTACCATGATATTTACTTTTGCTAATAAAAAATAATCATGCTTAGTTCATTAAAAAATTTGTACCTTTAAATTCTTGTTTTTCTTTTACAAATTTTTAAATGATCATAAAAAAAAAAGAGAATAGAAAGGTAAATTTGTAAAACCATATATATCATTTATTTATTCTAAGTAAATATAAGTTTTACATGCAATGATCTATTTATATAACAATAACATCAATAATCAATATTTATTTTAATAAACAAAATCAATTATATGAATCATACGATATTATTATGCTCAATCAATTATATTATTATTAATTAATATATCTCAATATCATTAAGCAATATATCTGAAAATAAAACGTAGTTACTAATGAGATTTTATTTCAGTTGCTATAGCTTAAGCTCCATGCTTCAAATTTCTTTTTCGCGTCTATGCCACTCAGTATTATTATTACGTACCAATTCCTTGTCAAAGATATTTAGCCTTCATTTGCAGCAGGTTGGTCAATCTTGTTCTGAGTCACACCCATTTCAGTTTCAGCAGTTTTGGATTCCTCTCTGAACTTCTGGTATATGTCACCTTTATAGAACTCTCTAGTCCTTAGCACCAAAATAAGAGACACGAGTGCCCCAAAGAGGCTAACAGCAGTGATTATAATAAAAGCCACTTTGTAACACTCAGTCCCATTGCAATTCAACTCCTCCCCAGGTTTCCTCTTTAGTCCTAATGCTGCCATTTGCCTTGTGGCTTCCCTGTCATACAAATGCCCTGCAACCCTCACACTGAACAAGTATGACCCAATTGGACTTGCCACTGACCCAACATTATACAAAGTTGAGTAAAATTTAAGACCAAAAAGTTCAGATATGATGGAAAATAATAATGGCCAGTTTGCTCCAAAGCAGAACCCAATAATGATTGAGGCTGGATAGAGACCATTTGGGACATTGAAAGCAATTAGAAGGTGACCAACACAAGCTAATACAAGGATTAATGTGAGCATGAGGGGCCTAGGGACATTGAATTTGGTTATGATAAATTCTGAGACAACCCCTTGTACAATTTTACCCATATAGATCCAAATGGCCATAAGGGAAACAAATGTGGTTATGCTATGTGCAGGATATCCTAAAGATGTACCAATCTGACTCAAGTTATTCACCACAGTCAAGGTGCCACCGAGTCCACATATTGTGGCTAAGAAAAGAATCACCATGTCAAGGCTAAAAAGGGCTTGAAGTATTGTATAATCTTCACCTCTACTTGGTGGCTTGAACATGTTTCTCCAACAGGAGACTTGCTTTTGGATAGTTGGTCCAGCTTGGGGAGCTTGTGAAGACTTCTCTAGATATGGCAATTCTGTAGTTATACTCAAAGGCTTAGGAGGGTCTTCACTGTGGATGTGTTCCTGTTTCCTCCTCCAAATCTTGTGTTCTTCAACAATAACAACAGCAAGTGGCAGGATGAGCAAGAGGAACATCAGAATAGTGGTGACATAATACTCACTTTGTGTGAAGGTGAAACTTCTTTGCACTATGATAGCTGCCATGAGGAACCCTGCAAGGACCAAAGTGGTATAGAGGAAATTATAGAAAGCCTTGGAATCATTTGAGTGTTGAAGTCCCTTGTGGTGCCTGACAACTGGTAAAAAGACAAAAGTTATAGCAGTTGGTAGCCATGCCATAAGCAAAATTAGAGATTTGGAGTCATTTCCATAGAAGGCATAGTATATCTGAGTGATGATAGCAGCACTCAAACCAAGATACCCACTCAAGAGTCCTATGACAATGCCCCTTGTGCCAGGGAAGTTCTTCACACTAGTCACAATGACTCCAGTGTTGGTGGAACAATGAGAATTGGCTCCAATGAAGATGTACAAGCACATGTTCCACACATGGGGCTTGGCAATTTTTCTGGTCACTGCAAGCCAAATCATGAAATAGCCAAAAAAATTGAGAACCCCTCCAATTGTTAAGACCACCCAAGGGGGTGTGACCTCATTGATTAGGCCTGAAATGATGCCTATGTTAGACCCCAGGTCCTTGAAGAAGCTCAAGAGATTGAGAGTGGATTGGTCATACCCCAACACCGACTTGATATCTCTAGAGTATAGACTAAACATGTAGCTTGCTCCAGATATTGACATGATCATGAATGAGGAGAACACCATGAACCAACGCCCTGTAAGGACTTGGAGGGTGAAGCTTTTGGTGTTTCTCCAATCATGCTGTCTAGAAGATGCCATTTTACTTACTCCTACTTTTCAGCAAACATCTAACACTCTAAAGAACACTTTGTTAATGAGCTAAATACTAAAATGTGAGTTTTTTCCTTTGTGGATGAAACAAAGTGGATGATTTGGATTTTGGAATAATTGTGGGTGTGAATATATACACGACTTAAAGTTATACATTTTTCCAAATGTTTTGTTCAAGAAAAAATTGTGGCTGAAAAGTCCACCTCCATCTAAATTATGGAATAAATTTCACATTGATCATCAACTCCTTATAAAACTCTCTTTTAGTCTCAGACTTTGTAAATTATCGTTCACTATAGTGAATAATATTCTATAAAATTTAAAACTAAATTAGATAATGACATCCCTTATAATTTAACAAAATTATATTAAAATATTATCATATAATAACAATTATTTTTTATAATCATTAATTTAAAAGTTTAAATATAAGTTTTTTAATATTAACTGTATATTAAAATTAGCTTATACTTCTATAACTAGTATTAAGTCCAGATAAAAGAGGGAAGGTGTGTTAAACTTTTTAGAAGACACAGTAATATTTGTCGTTAAAACATTTTTATATAAATTACACACGAATTGAATAATAAATTTAATTTTTAATTTTGTCATTTTGTTTTTCTTACCCTTTTGAGACTCAACACATTTCAACTACTCTATGCAAATACAAATTGTCTTGTGTGTGGCGGGGACTGGCTGTAGAAATCATCCAAAAACTGCCTCTTTGCTGCGAATTTCATCCACCGAAAACACTTCTGGAAACGTCAATTGATGTTGAAAGGCATTGATTTTGTCATTTTCTGATTTTAAAAAATAAAATATGAAATTGAAATATCTTTTAGTAAAATTTAAAAATAGAAAAAATATTATTTTTGTACTTATCTAAATTTAAAAACTTTTATATCCAATCTAAGTCTTTTATTTAATTTAAATCTTATAAATTATAATTTATTATTTTATTAACCGTTAAATATATAAATTAAATGAAAGATTCAAATTAAATATAAAATTTTTTAAATTTATAAAATGTGAAAAAATTATATTTTTAAAAAATATATTTATTTAAAAAATGAGATTTCATTCTTATACTTCTCCTATGCCCTAAGCCGTGAATAAAATTTAAAAGTATTTGATAATGTTATTCAAAATTTGATCTTAATTCAAATTTTGTAACATGATGTAATTCACGACATTAAGATTACAAACTGATATACACATAGGCGTCAAGAATCGGTAACTCCAACTCTCTAAAGCGAAGGCCAACATCTCATCATAAGAGCTTGCCAATAAAGAATAAATTTCAAAAGGTTTCTTACGAGAATGAGAATTTGAACCAGCATGTAAGTTCGCTTGTATTTGTGTGTTAATAATAATAATAGTAAATATACTTTTTAAATCAAAATCTTTTGTTAATTTTTTTTATTATTACTATCATATTAGTTTTTTCATCTTAATTTTTACTCTTTAATTTCAGTTATAAATTCATTTTTTGTATGATAAAATAGTGAAAAAAAAGTTCTTAATTTACAATGATAATAAAAAATATGTGTCTATTCTAGCTTTAATTTCATTTTCATCTTTTAATATTTCATGTCATTATTCATCTTTAGTATTCGATTATTTGGACTGTTATTATTATTATATATTTTTTTTATCTTCGTAAATAATAGCATTGATGATGATGAAATATATGAGTAAATTTAAGTATTAAATTTTTCATCATAAATTATTTTATTTTATTGTCTTTATTTTAGTTATTTATTTCTTCATCTTATTTAATTAGTTATTAGTATTATCATCTTTATTTTTATTCATTTTATTTAAATTCACATTTTTCTGTTTTATTTTATGGTTGATAAATTATATTTCATTTACAATTATATGATAAATAAGTAAATAAATAGTAAAATATTTGCATGATTTATGATATTAATGTGTCACTTTTGTAATATTCTCAAATTTTTATTTAAAAGAACTTTATTGTGTTTTATAGATTTAAGAAATTTAATAAAACAAAACTCATATTTCTCTTAAATTTTTTTATAGGATTTCAAAGTGTTTAAAACTTTTAAAGGGATAGTTTTGAAATTTTAAAATGATAAACAAAAATTAAATTTACGTCTAGCAAATTATTTAATTCATATTGCACACGTATGAGTCTAAAATACTATTAACAATACTTCTTAAGAGAATACATTTTGTTGTTAAAATTGATTGCCAATTACTATCTAGTAACTAATTCTCAATATTATCAATATATTTAAAAAGATTATTAATTACCATAAAATTCATCAAAGTATTATAAGTTTTAAAATTAACACTTAAAATATTTATAAAGCTTGGTCAACATATGATGTAAATATAATAAAGTATTAAAATTCTTCAAATGATTTTAGACTTTACAGAGCAGTGCTTCCTCCCAATATCACTGAATTATGATTGTAGAATGGGCCAATCTTCTTTTTATTCTCTTCAATTTTATCTCTTGAAAATTATTAGTAACAGTAAGTATTTTCTGTTCAACTAAATCTCTTATTCGACAGAAGAAATATATATATATATATATATATATATATATATATATATAATACTGAAAATATTATCTAATATATATGTATTGGATTAACAATAGTACTAAGAACATACAAATCATTATCACAACGGAGTACACACCCAACAAATCAATTAGTTTTGCAAATATTTATGACATACATTTTCATAATAATTTGTATGTCATAATACATGTTTTATAGCACGTCAATCAATATGTCATAATACATGTATCCTAATCGCACCTGTTGATGTATTACAACACATATATTATAACAACATTAATCGATATATTACAATGCATATATTATAATCATACAATTTCTATACTATTTCATATTCATCACACTTTCATATTCATTGCTTCTGTGATCCCTTCAGGACTTCATAACATAGATAATTGATGGTTAGTCGCAACAATATGGATATACACGTGTGCCAACCTGATCCCTTTTAGCAAAGGTATGGTCAGAGGTTTAGATAAGGAAATAATGTCTTTTCTCTTTATTTTCATTAATTTTATGCAATCATAGAAAAACATCCACTACCCTTATTTCCCCATATCTTTACAATCACCCCCATCTTCCACACCTCAAGTGTATCTCTGTGACTATCTATACTTATTCTCAGGGTTTATCATTTCATTCTCATTCTTTTCTATATCTTTCTCATAGATCAACGTGTCACAATACGTGAGTCTTGATCATATAACTTAATATATTACAATACATGTATTATGAGTGCACCTTTCGATGTACCACAATACCTGTATCATAATAACATCCATCAATCTATCTGACTCACGTATTATAATTACATCTTGTAACGCCTTATATTTCTTTCCTCAATATATGATAAATTCTCATAAAAATTTAAATGGTAAAGTAAATTGTTCTTTCAAAAACTCTCTAATGAGAAAGAAACGATGAAATGATATAAGGTTCATATAAGTACTTTAGAAAAACAAAGATTCTAGAATTTTCATCAGCAACAAAAAGAAATAGTAGTTTTACAACTGTTTCAAAAGAATGCTATAGAATTGAAAATATTCATTACATAACTCAAAATAACTAAGTCCTATAGCAGTTCTCATCCATCCATGCACTGTGAGCTTGGTACTATTCGTCTTGGTTTCCTGAAAAATGTTGTGTAAGGGTGAGTCTCTACCCTACCACTCATACATACACATATTTATTATAAAACACATCTTATCACGATTAAAGAAAACATCATGGCATTATATATCACAGAATCATATAAAGCATGTTCTCATCTCAACACATATTATATTCCATCACAATTTCTTTTACTTTTATCCGCGTTTACCGCGCCCTGTGGTCACAGTTATCCGATGCCTCTATTCTGAGGTCTTACACATCCATGTAAATAGTCGCCGGATGGCCCAATGCAATACGGATACAACGTATGCAATAGACAGCCCCTTAGCAAAGGTAATGGTCAAGAGTCAAGTCGAGAAATGAGTGTGTGGCCATGTGGTGCATTCGAACACAATATTCCATGCACAATTCTGAATGTCACTCACCACCCTACATTTTCCTAAGATATACCATATCGTCTCCATCTTCCACTCCCCCAGTGTATCTTTGTAACTATTTACATCATATCATTTTCCATCTTATACTCTTTCGAGTATATTCACATGTTCACATATGCCATTTATCATGTTTACACATATTTTTCATTATATTTCCTCATACTTTTTATCATATACATCAAACCATGGCATATTCACAATACACATCATTTTTACATGAAACACAATATATTCAAACATGAAACATCCATCTCTTTGTATATTCCATATCACAAAATCATAAAATCATATCAACCATCTTCAATATACCTTATCATGCCCTATTTGAACACAATATCACATTTTCACCATGTATTCATCATAAAATCACATAAACAGCCAATTATTCTCACTTTTCACTGATTATTTCTCATAAAACAAGGATTATTCCACATATAATCACATACATGACAAGATCCATGAGAATACAAGTAATAAACATAACAAAATGATAAAGTAGAGCCCCCTTACCTCAAAACAGAGCTTTTACAAAGATTTAATCGAAGATTTAAACTCTATAATGGAGTTTTTCCTAAGAACATCATGAACATCTATAAGAAGAAGAAGAAGAAGAAGAGAAACGAACGGTAAATCTAACTTCAAACTTAGAGAAACTTACTTAAAATCCTTTAGAAAGGACGTAGAATCACAGATCTGAAGATAAATCTAAGTTTAGGAGGTTTAGTATGGGACAAAATGGTGAGATATAGCCTTAGAACCTTGGATAGGAGTGAAGAAATGAAAATTTCGTGTAAAACTCCCTTTTTATAGAAATTTTTTGAAAGTTACTATTTACCGCCGGAATTTACTGTTCATCGCCGGAAACACTGTTTCACCACCTTATTGTTCATGCCGGAAATACTGTGCACACGTACTATACACAGATTGTATGCAGATGTGACGTCAGTCATGACGTCATGATGATGTCACTGATGACGTCATCGTCACTGTACATACGCAGTTTACTGTTCATAGGCAGTCTCATTGTTCATACGCGGTTTACTGTTCATAGGTGGTTTTACTGTTCATCGACACTGTTCATAGGCAATTTTACTGTTCACTTTTTTTTTAAAATATAAATTCTATCCAAATCTATTCCAATTATACTTTAACAAACCTCATTTTATTTAAATCAAAGTATAGGATGTTACACATCTCTCATAATTCCTTCATCATGTCATATCATTTACCTTTATACATAAAACTCTTTCTTCATTTGAGAACAATATAACACTTTTCATCAATAACATAATTTCATCCATTTTAATATACATTAGTCATCAACAAACATTCATATTTATAGTATCATATCCATCTAACATAGTAGATCCTCAAACAATTTCACAACACATAGATCAATACAATGTGTCGAAGGTCGGACACCTTCAGACTCATTTCAATTGTACAATTTCAATACATACGCTTTCTGAGTATCAATACAGTCATATATCCTTAGTTTTGTAACATTTAATATTCACAGTATATCTATTATTCTAAAAATATCAAATGTGTAAATCTTAAATTACCTTTGTACAAGGTTTACTAGTAAAATCATAATATTTTTTGAAATAGTTTTGTTCAAAGGTTTTGTTATAAATTGTATTTAGTTGGTTCTGAAAATAAGCATGGGATTTTCATATCAAATCTCCTACACATTAGATTTTTAAGAAAACCTTAGTATTTCAGGGTCCTAATAAAAAACTTAGTATTTTAAAACTAAAATACCAAAAAGGAGTTAGGGCTTGAGATCAACTCTCCTTACCTGGATATGGGTCTCTCAAGCTGAGTTTTTTTTCTAAAGGTTCAAAGGAGGAGGTACAACGTTCTGAGAAAGGATATCGACTTGAAGATTGAGGTTTCCTTAAGTATCATAAAATACAAAACTTTAGATTATAGAAAAACTGAAAAATAAGAATAAAGTTGGAGAACCAAACTCTAAAAAACTTACTTGAATCTGAATGGAATAGAGAATTGAGCTTGGATCGAGAAGAGATTCGAGGTTTAAAAGAGGTTTCTTTGAGAAGAAAAGGTAAAAGAACAGAGAGAATGAGATAGAAAATTGTTTTGAAGAGAAATAATGAAAGTTTCGACGTTGAGGTTCCTTAAATACTCCTCCACTCGCGACATTCTTGTTACAGCAAGAAAACCAAACATCATTTTTTTCTCTTGTTGTCTGTCATTTTCACTGCAACGAGAATCTTCTAGCTCCAGCAAGAATTTCGCGTTGTAGCGAGAATGTTAGTTGGGTCAACCTTGTCCACTTATCGCTACAGTAAGAAAGAGTTAGAGAGCCTTATTCTGGATGCTCTTTCTCCCTACAGCGAGATACCCTGCGTCAGAACTCTTGTTTTTTCATATCAGGGAAACAAAATTGAGGGTGTTACAAATTCTCTATAGTCAAGTGTTATAAATTAGTAAAACTTGTGTATGTAATTTTGTTTATAAATTTATCATGTTTTTAATCTTAATTAACTATATAATTATATAATCAATCAATAAAAATATAATTTTTAATATTTTATCCTTTAATTATCAAGCAATTAATTTATTGATTAAGTTAAATTAAATTAATAAAATAATTTACAAAGATAATGTGTAATGTCATTATTTTTATATGTTATATATTACCTTAAGTTTTATGTGATATAAATATTTATTTTAAAAAATTAAATTATTTTTATTAATTGAATACTTACTCTTTTTATTTTATTTTTATTAAAACATGAACTTTTAAATATCTTCTCCTTAAATTATTTAATAATATAAATTTATCATAAATTAAATTATAATTAATACTAACTAACTAAGTAACAAATTAAAATATTTTTTAGACATTTCTCCCTTTAATTACTAAATAATTAATTTACTAATTTATTAATTAAGTTAAAATTATATTAATATAGTTATTTATAATGCTAATATTTAGGATTTTTACGTTTGTATGTTATAAATCATATAAACTTTTATGTATCAACATTACTTTAAATTTTATGTTATAAAAATTTATTTCAAAATTAAATCATATTTTAACTTTATTTTATTAAATAATTAATTTTACTAATTAACTTTAAGTATACTTTTTACCACTTAAATAATTTTATTTTTATTAAATAATTATTTAAAATAGTAATTTAAAATTTAAGTCATATTGTTAATCAAGTAAACTAAATAATCAAGTATTTGAATACTAAAAATTAATTTTTATTTTTTATGCAATATTTTATAACACTAACATTAATATTTTTTCTATACACAAGTGACTCTTAATATTTTTTAAAGGTCATATTTAATTATTTTTTAATTTTTTAAAATAAATTTTGATAATTAGTGTTCTAAATTTTAAAAAATATTTATTATTAAACTATGTTTTTTAAAAACGTTTGTCGTCCTATTGCCATTACGTTGTAAAATTTAGTTTTAAATTTAAAATTATTTCTTAATCACAGCCTTAACAAAAACAATTACAAAATAATATAACTTCGTATAAAACTAAAAGTAAATTTGTTTAGTACATATTTTATAAAAAAATTGGATTTTCTCAAGTGTAATTTTTATTGAAGAAAGTACAATTTTAAACTTAACCATTAAAAAGGACAGAAGTTCAATGTTAGCATGTGACAATACATGGAGAAGTGGCACAGAGTAGGAAATTAAAAGATTATAAACATAACTGAAAGTAAACTTTGGGGGGTTCTGATTGGCGACCAGGTTGAAGACGAAATGGAAAGCTCCTACGTAACCAAAAGTTTGTAATGCTTTGGGAATTATAAATTCGGAAAACATATATCAAGATGCCCAACAGAGTTTCATGTTCCCTTCCCCAAAATATCTCATTTATTAATAATTTAATACTATATTAATTTAAGAATTTGGTTAACTTCAATTTTAAAAGCAAAAGATAAGTAACTAATAAGAGTAAAATTTTATTAAAAAAAGTATTTATTATATATTTATAATTTCAATATAATAATTGTATTTTTTTCATAAATTTTTTTTATTTGTAGATATTTAATCTTAGTCTTCTGATGATCGATTCAACCTCTAATCAAAAAGATATATTTTGATTTTATTTTATCTCTTCAACAAGTTTAGTAATAAGTATAATAGTCCTATTGTTTTGATGAAGAGAAGAACCTATGATTAATTTTTGAAGAAATTTAAAAACAAATAATTTCAATAAAATATTTTAATTTCATTAACAAAATTTTTAATTAAAAATATGACTTTTCAGATTTCAAACATCATTAACGATGTTCTATTAAAAAAGATTTACTAAAAAAAAATTATAGCATTACACACTAAAATAATTTATGAAAATTTTGATGAAATTATTAAAAAGTAAATATCATTTTTATATTTATTAAATGATAAAATATTATGAAAGAAAATGAAATAAATCAAATTGAGAAATGAACATTATTATTCAAAAATTAAATTTTTAAAAAAAATATTAAAATAATAATATTTTATTATTATTATTATTATTTAAATTTAACATTTTTAACTATAAGAACTAAAAAATTAATTTATAATTATTAATATAAAGAGTTAAAATTTAAAATTTTAATTTTAAAAAATTAATATGAACGATAATTTTGTTTTATCACAACAATAGAATTTTTATTAAATCTAGTACCAGAAGTACCGAAAGAAATACATCAAAGCAAACACAACATTATTATGAAGTGCAGCTACTCAAACAAAGAAGTCAAAATAAAAAAAAGAAAGTAAAAGAGAGCAAAACAAGATTTTCTTGGCTTAGCTTAGCATGTGGGTGAAAGATAGTAACACTTGTACCGAGCAATATGTATGATATTACAAGCAGCAACACCATTATGAAATTCCTGTGAATACCAAGTCAATAAGCAAATATTGCAATCACTAATCATACCTACAAATATTACCAACCACTGTTCGCCTACACATTCGGTCACTGCACCAGATCAAACAGTGAATATAAATACAAACAGGAAAATAGTGATGCAAAATGATCCTTTATACTCGCTTTAAGCACAACTAGCTCTTCCATCCTTGTGTTATCTATAGATAGTCCACTAATATGATTATGTCATCGACGTGCCTTAATTGCATTATGAAAAAACGGTGAATTTTTATCCCCATCCTTTATCCACCTATTATGAGATTTTTACCTTAGCAGACTTCTTTCGAAGTTCCACCTGCTCGGTACTTAAATCCCTAGATTTAATCATCAAATCCAATTCAACAACTGTTTTCATACAAGTCTTATAATTTATTATTGTTAATTAAGTGAAAGTTTGGATTATTTATTTGTAAATTAGAATAGATAAATAATTCAGAATAACATTTGACAAATTAAGGAATTTACATTTGAGCTTTTTGTTTTGGATTGACCGTGACGAGTTGGACCATTCATGTAACGTTGGTCTCCTCTCATTACATGTGGATATTAAAATCTACTTTAAATAATTCAGTTTTATTAAGAGTATGTGAAACTTTAGTCATCAAATAAAGAATAGTCTTATTAAATTACTGTTAATTCACAGTCTCACATTATTTGTTGCTCTCACATTATTAATTGTATGGATCTAAGTATATTATAAATTTCTTTCAAACTCTCATTCTTTATGATTATAACATAACATAGCATCCATTAAATAAAATATGGGTCATCTT